CAGTTTTGATGAAGTCTAATTTATTTATGTTTTTCTTTTTTTGCTGTGCTCAGTGTCACATGTAAAAAAATAGAACTCTTTTAAGATGTATTGCTTATTAAAGATGAGTAATTAATTTATGTGAGAAATTCTGAGGTAACAATATGATGGTGGATAAAAAGTAGTTTTTCAAGTGACAAAATAACTTGTACTATTTTAGGCTTTCTTTTAGGGTAACTTTTTCATGTTTCATTTAGGATTCTTGTCCTTTTATGGGGGGAAGAATTATACAGATTACCATTTATTCAAATATTTATTATTATATATTATTTTTGTGGTTCCATTTGGACAATTAACATTTCTGTTAAATAATGAGGTATCTAAGTGATACTTCAAGTAAAGTGTTATTTATTGTTTTTCTAATTTCTAACTTGTTCACAGGAAAGTAAAAAGAAGATAAGTAACATCATACAAAATTCTAGCACTCAAACCTAACTCAAAGTTAAAATTTGTTTTAATAAAAAGATGTGTACCACATTTTAAGTGAAAATGACTGAATTGCCAAATGCGTTTAGTACATTCCTATTTTTGTAAAAAGATTATATAGATATTTGCTTGGAAATAAAGTCTGGAAGGATGTAAGCAAAAAATTAAGAGTAGTATTTTTCATGTTTTGGGGAAATTTCTTGGGTCTACTTTGCTATCTAAAATAAAGATATGTGGGAATTCCCCGGTGGTCCAGTGGTTAGGACTCCACACTTTCATGGCTTGAGGGCCCAGGTTTGATCCCTGGTTGGGGAACTAAGATCCCACAAGCCACGTAGTACAGCCAAAAATAAAATAAAATATTTAAAAAATAAATAAAATAAACATATGCTATAAAAATAAAGAGGAAAATATCTTCTAGCCTTTCCATGCATATTTAAAATGAAATATTTTACAAAATCACAACTGTATTCAATGTCTTATGTTATTATCCTGCCTTTGTTTATTTTGTATAACATCATGCCATTGAATATTATTTTAAAAGATTTGTGCTACTTGAATTATAATTCATGGGTTAGAGTCTCCTTATTTAGCTATTTCCCTACTTTGCCTAGGTTTTTGTTTACAATTTTTTGTCACTTAAAAAAGGCTGTGATTAGCATTTTTATAAATAAATTATTGTCTGCATCTCTCATTATTTCCATAGGGGAGATTCCTAATATAAGGGCTATTGGATCAAAAGATATGACTATTTTACAATGTCTTATTCAATAAATTCCTTTGAAGGGGACTTCCCTGGCAGTCCAGTGGCTAAGACCCAGCGCTTCCACTGAAGGGGGCACTGGTTCAATCCCTGGTTGGGGAACTAAATCCTGCATGCCACTCTGTGCGGCCAAAACATAAAAAAAATTTCCTTTGACGATACAGTAACACTAATTGCTTATTCTTTGTGCTTCTAGTTTTGTCAGTGTAATTCTGTTTCTACCCTTTATTCACTATGGAAGCAGCAAGGAAAAGGGTTGAAGCTGCTTGGAATGCACTTTGCACTAGTGGGCAGGAGACCTTGATTCTTTAGGTCCTCAGAAAACTCCCAAATGTCCAGAAGCTTTATTTACCTTATCTTTAAAATAAGGGGAGAGGTTTCACAGCCCTAAGATTCTCTAGTTCTCCTCAGGATACCAGGAGAAATGCTGGGCTTCACACTGTTGGAAAAGAAGCACATGAAATACCTCAGCAGAGGATATGACTTTTCATAAATGAAATGAAGTCCTTAATGACACCATTAAGCAGCTATTATTGTCTTTCTCTTAGAGCTGAAGGAACTGAAGCCCAGAGAATTTAGGTAACTTGCCTAAGATCACTGTGAACCAGTAAGAATCAAATCCAGGTGTGTGTGGTTCCAAAGTCTGTGCTGTTGACCCTTTACAATGATTTCAAAGTTGGACACAAATAGTATTTTTATGCTCTTGATATTATTATTATTATTATTATTATTATTATTATTATTGCGGTACGCGGGCCTCTCGCTGTTGTGGCCTCTCCCGCTGCGGAGCACAGGTTCCGGACGCGCAGGCTCAGTGGCCACGGCCCACGGGCCCAGCCGCTCCGCGGCACGTGGGATCTTCCCGGACCGGGGCATGAACCCTTGTACCCTGCGTCGGCAGGTGGACTCTCAACCACTGCGCCACCAGGGAGGCCCGCTCTTGATATTATTAACCACACACACATTCACAAGTTCTAAACTGATCATTTCTCTCCAAGGAACTTTTATTTCAAAGGGACTTACTGGTGAAACACTGTTAATGTATTAATTCCAATACCATAAAAATAGTTGAAACAAAACCTCTGGGAATGTGGTGCTATAATTTCATGAAATAATAAGCCCACAAAAATATTAACCTTAGAAACTATAAGAATTCTGTTATAATGCTTCAAAGAATTATGGCAAAATTTTTTTTTCTAACTGAAGGCTGTATTGGTCAGTCCTTCACTTACATAACTTTCTCTCCTCAAGTATTTGAAGAGACACTCAATGAATCTGAAAATATGTGAAAGTGCAATATTTTAAAATAATTTTACTATGTTATCTGTTCCCTGAGAATCTTTCTTAGTCTTTTCTTCCTTCCTTCCTTCTCTTCCTTCCTCCTTCCCTCCCTCTCTCTCTCTTTCTTTCTCCTCTCCCCACCTTTTTGTGGCAACACTCCAGAAAGCCTTGTAGAACCAAAGAGAAGCAGATTTCTATCACTGGTAACAAAATATACAAGATAATTTCTCATATCTCCACTCATATGCTTCAACATCCTTTGGTGAATTAATCTTTCCAGCTTCAACAATACGTAGCTACATTAATTTTAAGTGACTACAGCATAACCATTCCTATAGGAACCATGCATTTGCTAGACAATGCATATTTAAAACCTTCACATTTTCAAGGTATGCAAAGTTCGGCTGTTTTTACAGAAATGAGATGATCCATTATAAGTCTTCAGTACTTTTGTTTTTCTATTTTGAGTTTGTTGTTTTTGCTATTTATTCCTGCAGGTTTTATTGAATTCCCACTCAGCTCCATGAGGGCAGGGGCTATATTTGTCTCACTCAACATTGTACCCAACACATATCTGGTGCCCAATAAATATTTGGTTTTCTCCCCAGCTTTACTGAGATATAACTAACATAATAAAACATATTTGTTGAGTGAATGTATTCTTTCCCCATTGATTTGAAACAACTTTTAAAATCACATTTAAATATAGTAATTTGTTGCTAAGCTTAGAGGTGGCTATCCACAAATACTGCCTCACTGTTGGCAAGGCAAATCAAGGTGTAGAAAATAGGGAGTGAGGGAGGGGAAAATAAAGACAAGCCCTAACAAGTAAAAATTGAGGGGGCACGTGCTTTCAAAATAAACTGAATTCATTGGCTTTAAAGATCTTTTCTAGCAGGAAAGATTTTTTCTGAATCACCTTTTTCATTTTTTTCAGAAAACATCACTGCAACATTATCTATAAGGTACAATCTCCTACAAATGTTATGCTGTGCTTATACAGATGGTACCTTACCAGACTTGAAATTTAATTATGTTTGCTTTTGCATCCTTGATTCATTTTCTGAAATATGCTGGGAAATAAAACTGTATAGATTTATTCAGAATTATTCCATTTAGTGGAATATTTAGGATCCATGGCTAGATCTATATGACCCAAGGAATAGTTTATTATTGGTCAATTATAAGGCAAACATTTAATGATTAATATGTCTGAAATACCATTCTGAGGTTCGCTATTAGTTCAGGCTACAACAGGCATAATCTGTGCTGTAACTTTGAGCCTGCTCATTGATCCAAAAGTGTGTCCTTCACATTTTTTTTTTAACTTTGTCCACTTTTTTGCTTCCTCCCCTCACGTTAAGCAGCTTCTGCTCTATCTCTGGTTGTAAACAACGAATCAAATGGACAGTGTAGTATTTGTCTGACCCTCAAGGTCACATATGGGATCCAGAGATTCAAAGCTAAAATGAAACATTAAGGTACAATAGGTTACCAGAGAAGGAAAAGAACACAGATAAAAACTGGCAAAATACTGTATCAAGAAATGTTAAAAAACATGATAATTTTTGTGTAGGTTTCCCCAACACTTTTTAAACTGGACTTTGGTTTCCTTGATTATACTTCTGATTTTTCTCTGTTCTTCTCTTGCTAGTTTAAATAACTTTTATCAGAGCCCCAAGGACAGGACCTAAAACAATTCTATTTGGTGTAATAGCTGGACACATGGTAGGTATTCCTGTTTTTCTTTTCTTTTTTTCCCCTCTTATTCTTTTGGTATGAGAAACACCATACCTTCCTTCAGAAACACTGATGTATTTCCAGCCTTTTCTCTTAATTTGATGCAACCTTACCAAGATTTTTATCAGCTTTTTCTCTGAGTGACAACGAATTAATCTGTTTCAAAGCAACAAATGACACAGCCTAAATAAAATCTTGTTACTGAAGGTTGCGGAGTCACCCACTCCGTTTTTATGGCAACGCTGGTTTGGAGCATTTTGCTCATACATGCTGTCCTTTCTGAGGAAACTGTGATTTTTTCCCCATCGTACTGTGAAGGATGGAATCTGGGGGTCAAAGGCATCCCTGCATTTCAAGAGTGCCCACCTCAACCACCAGAGGCTCAAGCTCGGTTTAACTGGCAATTCCACAAAGGGCTCGCTGCGCTTTTCGAGTGATCGAAATCACCTGTTCAAGGTCGCACATCCAATTGTTACTGGATTCAATCATCAAGGTCGGGTAGGGCTGCGGGGTCTGCGGCCCGCCAGCTCCCGGCGGCGACTCAGCAGGCCCACCTGGTGCCCCGCAATCTGCGCAATCGCTGGGAGAACGCGCCCTCTCGCGACCGACTTCGCGCCGCAGCTGGGCCTGGCGCAAACGCCCCCCGGGCGGAGGCCGGCGGCTGCAGGACCTGGGAACCGGAAGGAGGAGGCGGCGGCGGCCCGAGGCTGGGAGAGCGGGTGGGGGCGGGGCGCGCCCATATAAGCCCCGTGCGGGGTTGAGGGCGGGCCTAGGTGAGAGCGGCTAAGTCGGCGGAGCGTCCGGCGCCGCAGACCCGGCCAGCGAGGCCTGGGACGGGAGAGGGAGGAGACTGGAGGAGGAGACGGGAGTGCGGGGTGGCGCTGGTCCACCTCCGCAGCTCTCCTGGCTCCCGCCGGCTTTCGAAGGCGGGCCCGTGCTGCGGCAGCGGCGGCGGCAGCGGCCTCGGCGGCCTGCGGAGGTGAAGCCTGGCTGCCGCGGCCTGGGTCGGCGGCGCGGGGTCAGGTGGCCGGCCCGCGTGGGTGGGCAGGGTTGGGCGGCCGCCGCCGTGAGTGCAGGGGCGGCTTGGCATCCTCGGGGCGGGGCCCTGGAGGGCAGGTGGCCCGTGCGTCTTACTGCAGGTCGGTCTCCTAGAGGCACCTGCAGAAGTGGCCCCGGCCGTGTGCTTCGGCGTCCGGAGGACTGTGGGGAGGGCGGGGGTCGCTGCCTTCGGGGTGCCGAGGGCCCGTCGCGTAGAAGCGCCTCTCGCCCAGGCCCTGCAGGGGCTTGGGATCCGCGCCGGCTGCCTGGGGCCTGTTGTGCCCTTGCTTTGGGGATGCTCCTCAAGGGGAGTGGGGGGAATAGCGCTGAGGCGCGGGGGTGGAGGGGGAGCTAGGGTCACGGTCGGGACGGTGTAAGACTCGCCAGGATGAGCCCTTAAACCGGTTGGATGTGAGTGGTTATCAGTTAGTCTAAACAAAACTGAACACCAACTCGGGGCGGTCGCAGCTTCACAGAGTACCTCGCTCTAAATGTCCAGTAGTGACGGACTTGCCTTATAGGCCCCAGAGCAATCAAAGGGAAGTTAGCATTCTTATTCAAGAAGTTTCTCTTCACTTAGTGAATGAGAGCTCTAAAAGAATTGTGTGTGTTCGGGATTTTCTTTTAAAAGTCGTTGTTAGTGATTGGGGTCGGGGCTGCTGGTGAGGGATAATGTAGAGAGTTTCGAATGGCTGCCTTGTCCCGATGGAGAAGGCTTATTTTTTGTGTGTCATCACTTGACCATAGAAATTATTCAATATGTGGATTGCCCTCAGCTCTGAAGCCACTGCTTGATTAGCGGCTCTTCCTCCCTGTGTGGGAAATTGAATTTCTGGAAACGTCCCCCATATTGTAGATTTTTGCCTACGTAAAGGCGCCAGTGCGTGGCACTAATTGCCTTCAAGGTAGTGAAATGGAAGTGTGGTATTTAAAGCATCATTAGGTTTTGAGCTCACTTCTGTGGAAGAGAATTTTGAGGGCGTGGGTCTAGACTTTTCAGGGAATTTAAAGCCTCTAGTCGTAATTGACTTTTATACTTGGTTTTTTTCTTCCCTCTTTCAGCCTCATCTGTTTCAATGGTGCAACTCTCTTCATCTCCTTTTGGTTACCAGTCACCTTCAGGCCATTCGGAGGAGGGAAAGGAGGGGAATATGAAGTCAGCCAAGCCCCAAGTGAACCACAGTCAGCATGGGGAAAGCCAGCGGGCCATGAGCCCCTTGCAGCCTGCTCTCGGTTCTGCTGCCTCTCCTTCCCAAGCATATGAGACATATATTGATAATGGACTCATATGCCTTAAACACAAAATCAGAAACATCGAGAAAAAGAAGGTAACTTTTTTTTTTCCTCCCAGCCCTGTATATGCACCATCTTAAATAAGGGTTAAGGAACTGGCATTTTTGCTTTCTATCAGGGCTCATAGGTATTCTTCCTAAAGATTTTTTTCCTAAAGATTTAAGTAACCTTGAGATTTAGCTGGCTAAAATGTACAAGTGGGCTAAATATTGGCTATATTAAACACTTTCTGTTTGATTTGTCAGAATAACTGAATAAAAATATTCTTCATGGTAAAATTATTATGCATGCTACTGTTGAAATACTTGAAGAGCTGGCTACTTTAGGTCAGATTAATTCCTTGAGTGTCGTATTAATGTTTCTTTTCATAAATGAGTAATAGTCTGAATTTTTTAGCTTGTTTTCCTTGTGACTTTCTGCAGCAGTTGATATTGCAGTATAGCTGCTGCAGTCTTTGGAAGCTTTAATGATGGTAGAGCCAGAAAATGTTTTAGCACTAATTTTTGTGTTGCTAGGTGATCGTTTAAGATTGGTAGGTGAAAGCATTGTAGAGAGCCTTGTGAAGTTACTCAGGGTTATAATCAGCCTAACGTTACAGTAAATGCTGATGTAAAGATCCAGATCATTCTTCATTTCCTGAGTCATGTAGCCTGTGAAACAGTACTGCACGTAGCTTTGTTGTGTCATGATTCTCTTTTGCTTGGGATAGTAAGGTGAGTTAATAACTATCTGGACCTAGGAACTCTTAAATATTTTTATGCCAAGACCTAGTTAAACCCTAGGAAAGTTGCTTTTAATGGAGGAGGGTGAAGAGATTTTTAAGAGTCTGGTTGACTCTTTTTTCCTCCCCCTTCTCCCCTCCCTTGGCCGCCCGCCCCCGCCACCAACACACACACTAGGAAGGTAGTGAAGAAGAGCCAGTTACTAGTAGCTTCTCTGTAGCCCTAGCTCTCACCAGTTGTCTTTTGAATGCATGCAGTTGATCACAAGTGTGATAAGGTGAGTGTGCCTGGGTCAGCACAAATTCCCTGCCACTGTGGGAAATTAGTCAAAGCAGGATCTATTGATAGAGACTCATTAATGTCTTACCCCAGGTGGAGGAACTACATATATATGTATAATTATGCTCTTCAGTTTAACTATAGTGCCTCTTTAATTGTGAATACCAATCTGGTCAGTACTTATACATTTGTTTCAAGCTTCTGGAAGAGCATTTTAAAGCTATCCAGCCAATATGGAAGGAGCCTAAACATTGCTTTTAGAATACCATAAAGGGTCATGTCATTATTATGTGGACAATAAATGCAATTAATTTGTCATCTATTTACTTAAATATCAAATTTTATATGAAAAATAGCTGCAAGTTGAGGCTACTATAATTCAAGAAAAGAAGTATTTTACATTTCTGTACTTCCATTAGGAAGTTTCCTATGGAACAAATGCCTACATAATTCAACAGGTAACAGTTTCAGTATGAGGTTAGAGTAGGACTTCTCAGTCTCAACACTATTGACATTTTGGGCTGGATAATTCTTGGTTGTGGGGGGCTGTCCTTTGCACTGTAGGATGTTCAGCAGCATCCCTGGCCTCTACCCACAAGACGCCAGTAGCACCTTCTTCCTCCCTCCCATCCCCCAAGTTGTGATAACCAAAAATGTCTCCAGCCATTGTCGTATAACCTTGGGGGACAAAATTGCCCCAGATTGAGCACCACTGGGTTAGGAGCATATGATTGATTAAATCCCTGTGTGTCACGTAGTCTAATTATAGAGGCCATTAAGAGAAAAAGATTTTATTACTGCTTAACTTTTGTAATTCCAGACTAATGTTGATTGTGTGTAATATTTTTTTCCCTGACTGGAACTCACCTACAATTTCTGCTTGCCTCGTAGTAAAATGTTATTCTTACAGATTGATAGCTAACTTCAAGAACTTTGTTTGCATAAGGAACAGTCTGGTATTTAGTTTGTTTCAGAATTTTATATCAGGTTGTAGTAGATACAAGTTTCTCTTTTGTAGCTCAAACTGGAAGATTATAAGGATCGCCTGAAAAACGGAGAGCAACTTAATCCAGACCAGTTGGTAAGTGGTTTATGATCCTTTGGCCAGACCTACTGATTTTCTTTTCTTAGTAAAACTCTAGATGAATTTGGGGGAGACCAAAGATTTGATAGGCTAAAAAAGAAGAGTGAGAATCCACTGGATTTTTCAAAGACTTTGTCTTCACCTATTAGATCTCATAGCTTTGACTTCTTTTGCACTAGTAGATGGTGTACGGATGGGTGTGTGTGTTGTCAAATAAGAGGGAAAATGTAGACTATCACTAAGAGTTAACGTATGGATTTAAATTAACCTTTCACTAGAGTGCACTAAAGGAGAAGAGCAGGGAATCATCTAGCTTTCTACTTTTCTAAACCTAACATCTCTCTGCTCTGAAATATAAAAGAATATTTACTACAGCTTGCCTTGGTTTTCTCTAGTTGCTTCCCTCTAATTCCTTTGATGGTTTCTCCCTGCTTTTCTATCCTGAATTGCCATGTTCCTTCGCAGGAGGCATGTTTATCTGATAGATAGATGTTGGGCCTTTTTTTTTTTTTTTAAATCTTACTATAACTATTTACTATTTACCACATTTAAAAATATTGTTTACCTTGCCCATGGTATACCTGGTAATTGCAAATTTTACCTTGCCCATGGTATACCTGGTAATTGCAAATTTTATCTAATATGGTGAAGGAGAGTTTTTGCAATATGGAAAATTTAAAAGATGCTTTATTGATGTTTGCCATTTTGACCTGATCACATCTCCTGGCTAAGATGGGGACAAAATTAATCTAAAACTTATTCGATCTAGCTTGTAGATCTGTTGTCTTTTATCTTTTTTAACTAAAATTTTTGGTTGTGAATCATAGGTCCTGGTATTCAAGGGCTTTTCCCTTGCCATATTGCCTGTTCTTCACTGACCTCGAATTTTTGTGATGTAGTAAATTACAGTTTTGCTGAGGCACAGATTTGAATTGTCTGAGCTCCGAGAATGATGGGCTTAGATAGCTGGTGAAAGGACTTAGCTGGACATTTCAGCGTTTCAACATGGCTTTGTTTTTAAGTAGTCATGGTATATTCGATAACTTTTAAAGTGATGAAACTTCCCTTTGTGTAAATACCCTTGGAGGAAATGTTCTGTTACAGTAGTGTTTTTGACTTTGGGGAAACATAGGGAATGGGAGTGGGGAGGTTGGTGGTTCTCATGATAGCTCTGTAAGAAAAGTCGAGGATATTCTGTATTTCAGAGCTCCAGCCAGGTAAACTTTAATCTCAGCATTTCATTACTGCCTTCACAACTACATGTTGCTTCTATAGTATTAATTTAGATTTCTTGAGTAATATCCTGACACATGCCAAATTTATATTGCCAATAGATGAGTCCTCTCAACTCTAGATTCTTATGTCCAGTTGTCTTTGACATCTTTGACTCATTTTGCTTCCCAGAACCTGTTCCTCCTTTAACCTTCACTATGTCAGTTAAAGGCTTGATGAATTAGAAGGATGGAGTTGCCCAAAACCTTGGAGAATTTCTCGTTTTTCTCCTCATACCTCATATCTAGCCCATCAGCAATTCTGGTCAATTCTGCCTTCAAAATAAATCCAGAAACAGACCATTTCTCATAAATTCTGCTTCTGCCTTCCTGTTCCACACCACATCACCTTTCATCTGCATTACTGTAACAGCTTCCTCACAGGTTTTTCTATTTCTGCTCTCTCTCCAGTCTATTCTTAACATAGTAGCCTCAGTAATTCTTTTCAAATACAAGTCAGATGGTCATTCCTCTGCTCAAAAGTCCCTCCCTATTGGTTCCCATCATGGTGGCAAAATGTCCTATAAGGCCCTATGGAATGCGCTCCCCACTTCCTTTTACATCTTTATTGCATTTCCTGCACTTCTCTCTCTTGCTGGCTTCATCCCAGCAACACTGGCCTTCTTGCTGGTCCTCAAACATCCCAGCCACACTTCTACTTCAGTGCTTTTGCATGTGCTGTTCTTACTGCCTGGGATGCTTTTTTCCCAGATGTCTAAATGGCTCCATTCCCAATCTCCTTCAGCTTTTTATTTGAAGGTCATCTTAGTAACGCATGTCCTGACAATACCATACCTCCATTCCCCCATTCACACTCTTTTGCTCCTTTCCTTGCTTTAATTTTCTTAATAAAAGTGCTTCTCTGACAAACTGTAAAGTTTTATCTCTCCTTCTCTTACACTGTAAGTTCCATTAAAGTAGAGATTTTGTCTGTTCACTGTTGTTTTCCTAGTACTTAGAATGGTTTATAGTATATGGTAGGCATTTAAATATGTATTACATATAGATTTACCAAATATAAAATGATTGAATGTTAGGTTTTTAGGTGTGATTAAGTATATAGTTAGTGGTACTTTTGAGAAATAACATCTCATACAAGGAATATATACTTAAGGTAGAAATTTAGAAAATGCAGATGAGTCAGAAGAAAAAAAATCTATAATCTGACCCCTCAGAGAACTGTTGTCAGTAGTATAGTACTTAATTTAAAAGCTCTAAGTTTAGTTTTTAAAGTTGCAAGTAATTCACATAGTTTAGAAATCAGGAAATATTAAAAAAGATACAGTTTTTCTTTCACCCTGTCCTTCCTCTGTTCATTTCTCATCTTACAAAATAATGATTCTAATAGGTTACTTTGTATTTGTCCATAGTTTCTTGAAGCCTGTATACAGTTTAGCTTAATATAGATACTTCTGGGGCCTTTATTTTTGCTTCTTTTTTTCTTAGTGTACTTTATTTTTTGGGCAGCTTTAGAAATTGAGCCGACAGTAGAGAGAATTCCTGTATACCCCTTGACCCCACCACACACGCACAGCCTTCTCAGCTGTCACCGTTCCATACCAGAGTAGTACATTTGTTACAGTTGAACCTACATTGACACATCATCATCAAAGTCCATAGCTTACATTAGGGTTCAACTCATTCTGTGGGTTTTGACAAATACGTAATGGCATGTATCCATTGTTATAGTAACACACAGAATAGTTTCACTGCCCTAGACATCTGTGCTCTGCCTGTTCATCCTTTATTAATATGGTGTCAGTGTTTCCATAATACTTTAAAGTTTGGTTGAAATGCTCTCAAACTGTCAGCCTGGTTCTTTTTTGGGTGGGAGTGCTTTGAAAATATTCTCCATTTTTTCTTTGAAAATTGATCTGTTTAGATTTTTATTGTTTTTGGAGTCAACTTTTTAAAACTTTTCCTTGAAAATCACTAATATTTCATCCAGTTTAAAAAAATTATTGCAAAGATTGGGACAAAGTAATTATTTATAAAAGCCTATTTCTGTATTACTTTATTTCTAACTTTGTGTGGTTGTATTTCCTTGTTTACTCAATTAAGTTAGTATCTTAAAAAAATTCTTTTTTAAAGCCAGCTTTTATTTTTTCTCTCCTACGCCTTTTATCTTTTTGCTTTCCTTTGGTTTATTTGCTTCATTTTCTATCTTTAAGCTGAGTGCTTAATTTGTCCTCCCCACCCCCACCAACCTATATGTATTTAAAGCTGTGACTATTACTTCAAGCACTGCTTTGGCTGATATTATAGATTTGATTTGATACTGTTTTCAGTATTGTTGGCTAGAAGTTTTGTAATTCAGTTTGTATTTCTTCTTCAACCCAACAGTTATTTGTAATACTGTAAATAAAACTTTCTATGATCTGCGTGATTATATGTGCCTAGCTAATGTAACCTCTTTTGGTAGTACCTCTTAAGTAACCTGTTGAGACTAAGCTATAGACTTCTGAGATTTCACTATTGCTAACATAAACTTAGATTTCTCCTTTAAAATAGTAAGAAAAGTGTCTTAGTGAAGTTTTTCAGAGTCCCATTTGTAACTTTAATGTCTATTTTGATTCAGGTCTGGATTTGAAACGGAAAACCGAGACTCAAGTGAGTGCTTGAGCAAAAGGCAATGGTACTTGATGCTTTCAGCTGCTATACCTGTAGTCTAAGAGCTTTTGGGAGCTGGTACCAAGATAGTGGCAGAGGGGTTTGAATAAAGTAGTTGGATTTGAGAGGTAAAATCAACGTAGCTTGGTACTGTGTAGGAATAGAGAGAAGAACCAAGAGTGGTTTCCAGGTTTCTGGCTTGACCAGTTGGGTGGATGGCAAAACCATTTATTGGGCTTGGAAACACCGGGAGAGAAGAATGTTTTGGGAGGATGCGATAAAGAGCTCAATTTTGGACCATTGATTTTAATGTGCCTGTGAAACATTAAAGGGTGAGATATCTAGTAAGTATTTATGAGAAGGTCTGGAGCATAGAGAAGTTTAGTCTACAGATCTATCACCTGTATGGCTGCTAATTGAAGCCATGAGAAAAGATGAGACTATCACGGGTGAGAGTATAGAAAGCAGAAAAGAAGCGTAAGACAGAATGCTAAAGAAATCTGACATTTCATGTTTGGATAATAATATTGATAGTGGCTAAAAATATTGATAGTGAACTTACTTTTGGGCCAGGCATCATTCTCAGTGATTTATAAACGTGAAATCATTTAAATTGCACATCTCTGTGATGTAGGTCCTATTATCTTTATAAGTGCTTAAAAACTGAGGTGAGAATAGTTAGTGGAAAAATTGCCGGTAAATAAAAAGCTGGAGAAATGGGAAGTTAGTGTTACAGAAAAACAAGGGATCTTAGTAGAGCAGGAGGATGCCTTTATGTTGAAGTCTTCTGAGAAGTTAACCAAAATGAGAGCTATACAAGATGCATAGGTTTAAAGGATGCGACTGACATCGCTGACTTTAGCCAGGACAGTTCTGGTGGAATGGTGGAAACAATTCAGGTTGATAAGGGCTGAGCAGGAAATGGAAACTGTGTAGGCATTTTTGATATATGTCTGAGACTGGAAGGATGTGGTTGCCAGAAGGGCACTTTTTATTTTTCTTATTTAGGTTGGGGGAGACTTGAACTTGTTAAATGCTGGTTTCAGCATCAGCAGAGAGGGAGAGGCTGAAGACATTAAAGAGGGAATCAGAGTAAGATCTCCCATGAAGGCAGAATTGAATAGGATCCAGGGCACAGGTGGAAGGACATCTCCTCCACTATATAAAGAAAGAGAGAAAGAAAGGATGGATCCACATTTGATGATGGGAAGTCGAGGTAGTTCCCATTTGATTTTGCTTTTCTTGAGTCAAAGTTAATACCATTTGGGAGTAGATATGAAGCGGTATTCCTTTTTAGTTTTACATCCCTTTGAGGACTGTATGATATGGTTATGTTATCTGTGCATTCTTGGTTCTATATTTGGAAGGCCTCTCTACCTGTTTTATTAAGAAATATGTAGTCCAAACAAGTATTGCACGTAAGTTACAATGCATAATAAAGCAAGTGTCAGAACCCACTGCTCAACCCAAATAGTATATTACCAACAACACTGAAGCTCCTTTGCAGAACTCTCTTTCCTGTAACCTGACCTTGAACTTTTTTCCCCTCATTCCCTTCCTTTTGTTTTAACAGGACTAATTTGTTGTCCTTAAATCTGTTAGGGTTGCTTTTTTGAAACTTATGATAAATGTTATACTGTATATTCTTCAGTTTATCATTTTTACTCATGATGTTTAGGATTTTTATATTGATGCAAGTAGCTATATTTCATCTGCTTTTCTCTACTTAGTAGTCTGTAAATAGATGGATGTTTGAGTTGTTTATTTTTTGGCATTCTACTTTGATTGGTCTTATATGTGTTACTGAGGTACAGGTGTAAGATTTCTTCAGGGTGTATACCTATCATTGGGTTGTAGGGTATACCCATAGTTAACTTCATAGTAAAAATGTTAAACTATTTTCCAAAATTATTGTACCAATTTATGCTAAGACAAGGAGTACACAGGAGTTCCTATTGTTCTGTACCTTTATAAAGACGTACTATCAGATTATTTTAAAAACAGCTTTATTGAGGTATCATAAATATATTGTAACATTAACCCATTGTAAATGTACAATTCAATAATTTATAGTACATTTGTAGAGTTATGCAGCTATCACAACAATCGAGTTTTAGAACATTTCTATAACCCCTTCAAGTTCTCTTTTGTGCCCTTATTTGCTTTCTATCTCTATAAATTTGGCTTTTCTGGATATTTCATATAAAATAAAGTCCTGCATCCGGCTTTTTTGACTTACCATTATGTTTTTGAGGTTCATCCATGTTATAGCATGTATCAGTAATTCATTTATTTTCATTGCTAACTAGACTTCCTTTGTATGGTTATAACACATTTTGCTTATCCATTTACCAGTTGCTGAATATTCGGATTGTTTTTATTTTGGGCTATAATGAATAATGTACTATATAAATTTACTTACAGGTCTTTAAGTGGGCATATGTTTTAATTTCTTTTGGGTAGATACCCAGAAGTGGAATATTATATTATTTTAACCACGGAGGCTTTGTAATATGCCTTTGTCTGATTGGACAAGTTCCCCATCTTGTTCTGTTTCATAATGGCCCTTTGAGGTAAAGTCCCACCAAAAAAATAGATAACTAATGAGAACGTGCTGTATAGCACAGGGAATTCTACTTCACTGTACAGTAGAAACTAACACAACATTGGAAAACAACTATACCCCAATTAAAAAACAAAACAAAACAACCTACCCCTTCTCTAATTATCAACTTTGTTCATCTGTGAAATCTCAAAGAAAATTTTCCTCTTTAAATTTACAGGGAATTCCCTGGAAGTCCAGTGGTTAGGACTCTGCACTTTCACTGCTGAGGGCCCGGGTTCAATCCCTGGTTGGGGAACTATGATCCCACAAGCTGCATGGTGTGGCCAAAAAAAAAAAAAAATATATATATATATATATATACAATATTTCTGTCACAATACTTAATTTGTCTGTTATAGGTAATTATTTACAAGTCTTTCCTACCATAGTATAAGTTTCTTGAGGTTGCTTTCATCTGTGTGATTCTCACTGTGCTACTTGTGTAATATATTTGTATAGTGAATGAATATTGACAGAGGAATCCTATTGGCTCAGTGCTCTTAAAACCCACAGGCCTCTCTGACCTTAGACTTTATAGATAGTCAGCTTTATTATTATTATGGTTCAGATTTCTAGCATAAACAATTGAATTTTTAAATTTAACTTTATGTAACTTCTATTAAATACTTTCTCCTTACTTTTTTTGAGTATGTATAGTAAATGGCTAGTTCCTAAAGTCTTAAATCTCCTCTGCTGTTATTAAGGAACTTATTTTGAGATATTTGTACTTAGAAGTTCACAGAATTGATTTTTTTTATCCTATTCGGTAGGAAGCAGTTGAGAAATATGAAGAAGTGCTACATAACTTAGAATTTGCCAAGGAGCTTCAGAAAACCTTTTCTGGACTGAGCCAAGATGTGAGTATGTTTTCTTTGCTTTTCCTAAAACGAACTTAACCACTGATCTTGAAGAAAATATCAAGTGTCTGATAATGGTGTTTGGTTATTGTTCATCTCATTCCTGCTGATATTTTATCGGGGGAGGTGGGGTGGAGTATAGTTTCTGAAGAACTAGTGTTTTCAGATTTCTAGAGTCTCAGCACAAATGTTATCTGAATATGAGGCATTGTGAATAAAGTGTTAGTTATCTAATGTGTATTATTTCACTGTGGAATTACAGAAATCATTGAGAAGGGGCATGGAAACTATTTTGACAGATAACATTTATTAAAGACGTTTTAGAATATAGGCTTGAAAATTTATATTACATAGGCTTGTAAGTTTAGCGTTACTGGTAGACTCTTCTTGAGAGCGTGGTAGTTATTACCAGGAAAATTTATGGTTCATCTTACATTTAAATAGCGTTAAGTCTGGTCCCACTGCTTGTTTCAATTGCTCTGTGTTGGCAACTCAAACTTTTCTCTTCCACAGATTTAATCAGTAATTAATAGTGAAGGCTTAAGCATTCATTAATGAAGTATTCTTCATTGTTTTAGAATCTTAGTGTTAGATGGCCCTTGAAAGATCACGTTCTACCAGTTGAGGAAATAATTTGGTAAATTCATTTCTGAGATGGGGAGCATGCCTCATAAGATAGTCTTTTCTACTTTTTGGATATTTTCTTGTTTGGCGAATTAAAATTCTCTTCTCCATTCCTGTGGCATCAAAAAAGAACAAATAAAAAAATAAAAACCCCAAAACATCATTCTGAAGCTGAAGACAGCTACCATCTTAATCCTTGTAAATTATAGTTCTGAGTTGCTCCCTTCTGGATGTCTGACTTAATTTACTTTTGAAAGGTATTGTGAAACCTAAAATAGTGTAGTATAGAGACACTTCCTTCTGTTTTCTGGATAATTCTGTTAATGCAAGTCTAAGATGATATTAGCTTTGTTATCCATAGCACACTTTAACTCGTGTTTACTTATTCATCACTTAATTATAATACTTTCTGTTAGTTTCACAGTTGTTAAATACTTCTAGGCTGTTTTAGATACAATACTTCTAAGTCATTTTTTTTCTTGTGTGATTGATTCCCCGTCCACCCACCCCCAATATGTTAAGTTTATTTAGTTTTGGTCCATTGTGCTAAATAAAAGATCTTTTATATCTGCCTTCTGGTTGGAGGTTTGAAGTATATTTTTATAATACTTAAAAATTTCTGTTAACTCTCTTTTCTGAGTTACCCTGTCAAATTTTCATTTTCCACTCGGGTGTTTTTTTTTCAATGTATGATGTTCTTTTTATTTTTTACATCTTTATTGGAGTATAATTGCTTTACAGTGGTGTGTTAGTTTCTGCTTTATAACAAAGTGAATCAGCTATACATATACATATGTTCCCATATGTCTTCCCTCTTGCGTCTCCCTCCCTCCCACCCTCCCTATCCCACCCCTCCAGGCGGTCACAAAGCACTGAGCTGATCTCCCTGTGCTATGCAACTGCTTCCCACTAGCTATCTACCTTACGTTTGGTAGTGTATATATGTCCATGCCTCTCTCTCGCTTTGTCACAGCTTACCCTTCTCCCTCCCCATATCCTCAAGTCCATTCTCTAGTAGGTCTGTGTCTTTATTCTTGTCTTACTCTAGGTTCCTCATGACATTTTTTTTTCTTAAATTCCATATATATGTGTTAGCGTACGGTATTTGTCTTTCTCTTTCTGACTTACTTCCCTCTGTATGACAGACTCTGGGTCTATCCACCTCATTACAAATAGCTCAATTTCGTTTCTTTTTATGGCTGAGTAATATTCCATCTTATATATGTGCCACATCTTCCTTATCCATTCATCCGATGATGGACACTTAGGTTGTTTCCATCTCCGGGCTATTGTAAATAGAGCTGCAATGAACATTTTGGTACATGACTCTTTTTGAATTATGGTTTTCTCAGGGTATATGTCCAGTAGTGGGATTGCTGGGTCATATGGTAGTTCTATTTGTAGTTTTTTAAGGAACCTCCATACTGTTCTCCCCAGTGGCTGTATCAGTTTACATTCCCACCAGCAGTGCAAGAGTGTTCCCTTTTCTCCACACCCTCTCCAGCATTTATTGTTTCTAGATTTTTTGATGATGGCCATTCTGACTGGTGTGAGATGATATCTCATTGTAGTTTTGATTTGCATTTCTCTAATGATTAATGATGTTGAGCATTCTTTCATGTGTTTGTTGGCAGTCTGTATATCTTCTTTGGAGAAATGTCTATGTAGGTCTTCTGCCCATTTTTGGATTGGGTTTTTTGTTTTTTTGTTATTGAGCTGCATAAGCTGCTTGGAAATTTTGGAGATTAATCCTTTGTCAGTTGCTTCATTTGCAAATATTTAGATTTAAATCTTTTTTTAAACACCATCCATGTGCCAGGCACCTATGGAGGTTCACTTTTTTTTAAAAATTAATTTATTTTTGGCTGTGTTGGGTCTTCATTGCTGTGCGTGGGCTTTCTGTAGTTGCGGCGAGTGGGGGGGGGGCTACTCATTGTGCCTTCTCTTGTGGCAGAGCACGGGCTGTAGGTGCCTGGGCTTCAGTAGTTGTGGCGTGTGGGCTATAGAGCAGAGGTTCAGTAGTTGTGGTGCACGGGCTTAGTTGCTCTGTGGCATATGGGATCTTCCTGGACCAGGGTTGGTACCCATGTCCCCTGCATTGGCAGGCGGATTCTTAACCACTGCATCACCAGGGAAGTCCAAGGTTTACTATTTTTATAGCGAAGTACTTTCCAGCCTAGGAATTTGGGGGCTTTCTTTTTTAACTCTTTCGTCAGACCTCTTCTATGGTAGCCTGTTTTGCAGTTTGTGTAACATTTTCTTCTTTCCCTTCAAACTAAAGTTGGAAGCCTTCAGCCCACCACATCTCTCTTTATCTTCATGGTATGAGCTTTGTCCTTTGGGGATTTATCATTCTAAGTCATGGTTCAGAAAATAAATTTTATGGTTCGGTGCTATTGGTTGACAGCAGTTTACTTCATATCTTCTTTCTAAATCAGTTTTCAACTGAAAGAAGAGAAGTCACCTGATTTCTTAGTTTCCACATAAATAATAGGCTGCCGTCAGTGGTTTTCTTGACATCTGATTATGACGTAGGAGACAGCATGTTTCTTACTTGATACCTGATAGAATCGATAAATATTTGAGGTTCTGTCATGTGTCAGACTCTGTGCTGGGTACTAGTGATATACTGGTGAACAACAGAGGTATAGTCCCTGCCATCATGGAGCTGAAGCGTAAGGGGGATGCAGCTAAAGAAAAAGATAAGCGTTTCATATAATAGATACTTTGATAGGGGAAGTTCAGGATGACCTGAGCCCATAAGAACACCTAATCCAACCCTGGGAGGTGGCCAAAGAGAGATCTGAGGTAATCATGTGATATAGTCCTGAAGATGTCCTCAGCACCAATTGCCTTTTCTTATACCATCATGAATCTGTGTCCAAGGGAATCCCACTGTCTTGGAGAGCTAGAATTGCCACCTCTATCGTCTTTCCTCCTCTCAAGCAGAAGCTGAGTTTGGTAAGTGTTATTGGTGTAAGTCCATATTAAGGTCTTGGAAAAGGCTTTTCTGAGCCTTTGCCGTCCTGAAGAAAATACCCTTGCCCACGTAACCCCCAACCAGTCCATTCCTCACTCTTAAAATTTTATCTTCAGCCATTGTCTCTTGTCCCTGGTAGTAGCACAAGTCATATTTATTAAGTTGCTTTCATACCCTGTAGAAAGGAATTAATAATGCCATAATGAATCTTTTTCCTGAGGTTTTTTTTTTTTAAAGCCCCATCTTGATTAGGATTTATGAATGTCTCTTTCGTAGAGTTTTAAATGTTGATGCTGAATCAAAGTACTTTAACTCATCTATAGGAAAAATATAAAAGTTTTTTTTTTGTTATCTTAATTTTCATACCTTGAAAATATCCAATACGTTGGAAACATTACAAACAGAAAAACACCTATGGGGAGAAAAGACCTTTTGGGTTTCTCAGTGGAAATAGATGGTACTTTTTGTTATTGGTATTTTATAAATGAGAAGCCACTTTTGGGACCCACATATTATATCAGACTTTAAGGTATTACAGTTGTAAGCTTTAGAGTAGACTCGGAGCTGCTCAGTCTACACACACACACACACACACGCATTTGAGGGAAAACTTACATTCCACTAATTCTCCATGTGTGTTTCCATGACAAACTATTATGAAAATCTCTCTCAATTTTGCTTAAAAGAACCCCTGTTTGCTATGGCTGTTTTTTTGGCATTACATTTGTAAGACATTTTATTTCTGTTTGGTTTTCAGTTCCTTATGCTTTAAGCAGTCTTCTTTGGTTGGTTGAAAATCAACCATTTTAAATACTCTTCCCCTGGAACATAAGATTTAAAAAAAACCCCAAACTAAACTGAAGCATTTTCTTAAAATATTTAGCCTAAAAAGGCTTGGTATACATAATGTGGAAAAGTAAAACCTTATGATTAATATAGACATTAACGATAGGTACTTTGCTTCTCATCATGGTGATAGTAGAGGTACTAGGTTCAACCTGGGGTTGGGAGTCACATATTTGGACTTCTTTAGCTTTGGTTAGCTGAGACAAACCAGCTAAGTACTCCGTGACTAATTTAGCTCAAAAAGCAAGCAGGCGGTTAAATGACCTTGTCAGTTTCACAGTCAGTGTTACATATTTGAGATTTATCATCTAATCTCAACTCTTTGGGATTGGACTTTTGTAGACGAATGGATTGCTAGTATGGGTTGTGGAGAGTTGTCAGCCTTAATTAGCGTTTGTTTTAACAGCTGCTTAAAGCGCAGAAGAAAGCCCAGAGAAGGGAGCACATGCTAAAACTTGAGGCTGAGAAGAAAAAGCTTCGCACTATACTTCAAGTTCAGTATGTATTACAGAACTTGATGCAGGAACATGTACAGAAAGACTTCAAAGGGGGCTTGAATGGTGCAGTGTATTTGCCTTTAAAAGAACTTGACTACCTCATTAAATTTTCAAAATTGACCTGTCCTGAAAGAAATGAAAGTCTGAGGTAAGTTAATGAAAATATTTTCCTGAAACAGGATACATAACACTTTAGTCTAGCTTTTCAGCATGTATATATGTATATGTATGTGTGTATGTGTATATATATATATTCAGCTTTGGAAACGTTGGCCTGCCCAGACTCTCACGAGGTTGATAGCCTGTCTACTAAGAAAGTGAATTTGAATGATCTCATTAACCTGCTTCTTTATTGTAACACTGATTTTTAAAATGTCTGATCAAGTTTTAACCTTGTATAGGTATTAACCATAATACTAATTATGTATATTCTTTAAAATTTTTTGTAATTATATCAGGCTGTTGTGTTACCTGAGAGTCTTTGCCTCCTTACTACTGCTGTACTTAAGTGGAGGTGAATAAAATTTAACTTGATTAGTATCACTAAACTGTCAAAGTAAGAATTATTGAGTGTTCTTCTTAGGCTGTGAGTAAATACTGAGAAACAAATCGAATAATTTAAAATATAAAACCAGCAAATTGAGGCAACCCAATTTTTTTCTCCTACAGTATCTATTTACTGTTTTTGCTTAGATGGAGTAAATCAGCTAATGAGCAGAAGCTGTATGCTTTTGGTTTGTTAGATACAGGTTGTTTCAATGCTGGGTCTGTTAGCCATGCAAAAGCAGCTAGATTTCAACTGCTTTAGAAATTAGCCCTATCAGTGCAGGAAGAAACCTGATAAAACTCTTAATTACCTATATATAGCCATATATATATATATTTATTCCCATCCCAATAGTCTGTTCCATCATCATTACCTATTTGGATGCTTCCTTCTCTTGCTTCACTTTGGTAGATCCAAGGAACGTGGCTTACTTTAATATGTGAAATGTAAGTGAAACAATTTGAAAAATGAGCTGCTCTCTTTAAAGACAAATGCAGCTCTTAATATTTCCATTCCACTGTTTTTTTTTTTTTTATCTAGGGCATATACTTGATAATGAAGGATACCACACTGATTGCCTTAAACTCTTTTTGGTCTATTCCTTAATAGATGTATTTGGTAAAATCTTTATTTTAGTTGTTTTAAGGAAAAATGCTGAACATTTGAAATCCATAAATGGGTATTTAGTCATCTTTTATAAAATTTCAATTTTTCATTTCCAAAGAGTAAAAAAACACAAAATTAACATTGAATGTCTTAATTGTTGATGGGTTATATTGTATAAATTGTACTGCTCCATATATAAATATATGTGCCTCTAAAGCCACTTTGTTCTGCTGCTGCTTTTCCTTGTCAGTGTTGAAGACCAGATGGAGCAGTCATCCTTGTACTTTTGGGACCTTTTGGAAGGTAGTGAGAAAGCAGTGGTAGGAACGACATGTGAGTTTTCTCTACTCTGGACTTATGCAGTAAATACTAAACTTTACATCTAGGAGTTTAGTATGATATCGAGGGCCAAAACTGTGTCAGTCCATCAGAACTTACATGTCTGACAATACTAGATTCATCGGCAGAATGATATCTTTGTTTAGTTCTGTTAAAAGCAGCTATTGTATAATTGTACTCGCTAAAATGGAGCCTAGGGAGAGTTTTGAGGTGACGAGTCACTGATTTGGGAACAAGAGCTAGGGACTAGTGCTTGAGCATTTTGGGGTTCAGTTCTCTATTGTGCGTGGTAGTACCTGTTCTATTTACAAATCTTAAATCCACATATTGTTAATATCAAGGCTTATCTATCAGACCTGCTTAAGAAAATAAGAATGATTTGGCTACATAGTCTATTGAAATATTGTTGTCTATTGGTCTGGAAATGATCTGGGGAGAAAGAGTCCTTTTGGCTTCCTAGATAGGCTTTGGCCAAATGACCAAGTACAAATGTTTGGACATGAAGTACACAGTTTTGTGTACTAGTTTAGGATAATGAAAACTCATTGGAAGCTGGTAAACATTTTTGTTACTAGTGATTGCTTCCTTTTTAAAAATATTTAAGTATGAATAACTATCTCAATTTCTAAGTCCTTTAAAGTTTAAACCACAGAAATTTATTGCTTGGCTGGAATGCAAAATGATACAAAAACTTTGGAAACTAGTTTGTTAGTTTCTTATAAAATTAAGCATGCACTTACTATATAACCAAGCAGTTACACTTCTGGTACCGGAGAGAATTGAAAACATACATTCACATGAGTACTTGTACATGATTGTTCATACCAGCTTATCATAATAGTCCCAAATTGAACACATCCCGGATGTACACCAACTGATAATTAATAAACAAAATGTGATATATTCATGCAATGGAATCTACTCAGCAATGAAAAAAGGAATGAATTATTGATACTGCAACAGCATGTATGAATCTCAAAATAATTATGCTGAGTGAAAGAAGCCAGACAAAAAATGAGAACATATTGTATGATTCCATTTATATGAAATTCTAGAAAAGACATAACTAGAACGATAGCATGTCAGTGGTTGCCAGGGAGTAGAGGGAGGAGATTGATTATAAAAGGGGCATAAGGGAACTTTTTGAGTTGTTTAAAATGTTCTGTATCATGGTTATGGTGGAAGTAACATGACTGTTAACACCTGTTAAAACTGTACACTTAAAATGTGAATTTTGTAAATTATACCTCAAATTTGATTTAAAAAAAAAAAGGTCATCTGTGTGTCACAGTATTTCTGTGAAAGGAATAGTAGACCCAAATCAAGTATGAGAACTCTGCTTAATTTGGGAATTATGTTTTTAGTGGATATTAAAAATAAAATAGACTTTAGACCTATTTATGGTACAGTGACTTTAATAACATCATTTTAAGATTTTTCTTGATCATCAAATGGTGATGTGCTAGGAGTGAAATATAGCATAACTCAAGAGTAAAATCTTAATCATGGAATTTTATACTTTAAAAATTCTTTAGAGGTTGTCCAAAATAGGTTTTTCTAAAGTTTATGTTTGAGGAACTGTGTTGTTTATTTCTCTTAAAGCCTAATTACTTGGGGAAGGTAGAGTAATTGCTTTTTGTGATGTCTTGGGGGCAGATGGGAGGAATCACTTTTCTCTCAGCTCAGGGAATAGATGTGTGCTTTTATAACATACTAGATAAAGTCCTTGATTGGAGTCTCTGATTTTTAGCCATTTTTCAAATGGTGGAAATGGAGGCCCAGGGAAACTTAAGTGACTTGCTAAACTTTGGGATTCTGATTTTTAAAATTTATATTGATTCAGCATGACGTAACGATGGACTGCATATTTCCTTTTCATGATACGACCAGTTCTTTGAATACCCTCAGTGTAGACTGTTATAATGACATACTACAACTAGGATAAAATTATATTACGATTTCTATTCCAAATAATTTTCCATGAACTATTAGGCTATGTGATAACGAAGTCTTAATCACTCTTTCTTAGACAAACACATGAAAGATCTACTATCTAAATTGTTGAACTCAGGCTATTTTGAAAGTATCCCAGTTCCAAAAAATGCTAAGGAAAAAGAGGTATCATTGGAGGAAGAAATGCTAATAAAATCAGAGAAGAAAAAACAATTATCGAAGACTGAATCTGTCAAAGAGTCAGGTTTGTTGTGATCTCTGAAATTGTTTATAATGGTTGCATTTTTAACACTTAACCAAAATGAGTCAAATCATTGTAAAATGATTATTTTAATTTTCTACATGCATAGAAATCTTTACTTGCCCCAGGATAAGCCTAGGTTTAGGACACATCTCTAGGCTTTACTACCATGATTTGCAGAGTCAACCTTAATAGAAACATTAGGTTATACTTTGTTACAAGAGAGTACACTGTTAAAATGAGGCATTTATGGAATTTGAATTCTTTGTTAAACTATTAAAGTTTAACTCTTTGTTAAACTATTAGGATCATTCCATTTAAAACCATTGTTTAAAATGTGAGTTATAGTACATTCCAATACTGTATAGAACAAGAATGTAAATAATCTAAGGTTAACATATTGATTTAGGAAAAAAATTGCCAAAATCAGTAAAAGAAATAATGTTTTTCAAAATTCCACTTTTCTTGGGGAAGAAATACTTTGAGTAAATGGCACCTTGGCTATTTATTGTTGAGGCTGGATTTATTTAAGAAATATTACTTCTAAGGAGGTAGTCCAAGCAGCCTTTTGGTAGCCACTAGCAAGATTCGAGCATTTCTCGTTTACCCCATGGCACCAGAGCTATAAATCCAACTTGAAAGAAGCTGTGTTTGTGGGTAAGAGGAGATAGTCCTATTTTCAGTCGGAAATCAGTTTTTAACTACAACGTGACTTCAGAAAAGTGTCTTATATAAGCAGAGCTACTAGCTTCAACTAGCCTCAGACCACATGCTTTTGACCAGCACCCAATAGTGAGAATTACTCCTGCCCTGAATGTACTTAATTGCACTATCCTTTTTCTGTTACTATTCTGAAATTTGTTGCTGGGATGAATTACAGTGTAATCAGTCTAAAAACTTGTAGTTTACCTAGTGCTTATTCAATATTCCTTTTACCTTCTCAGAGTCTCTTATGGAACTTGCACAGCCAGAGATACAACCACAAGAGGTAAGGTACCGAAAGGTAATTTTCAGTCAATTGTGTTTTTCGAGACTTTTGTATATTGTTGTGGTTAGGAGCTGAGGCTTTGGAGCTAGACTGCTTAAGCTTGAATCCTGGCTCTGCAGCTTATTAGCTTAATGACTTTGGGCAAGATATATAGCCCAGCTGTGTCTGTTATCCTCCTACATAAAATGGGGATAATAACAATGCCTGCCTCATATGGTTATTGTGAGGTTTGAAGGTTAAATCTGAATTACTTACAATTTGGCCTGGCACGCAGAACGGCTCAAGTGTTAGCTGGTGGTGATGGTGGTTTTGGTCCCTGTATAGGAATTTGAAGATGGGTGGGATTTTGCTCTTTCCAGAATTTACTCATATTGGTAATAGAAGAGGGCATTTGTTCTCTTTCTGAAGTGACATCGGAATTCATGGAAGCCGAAAAGAATGGAAGAAGCAAAATCACAGTATGATTGATATATAATGGGAATAAAGAAAAGGCTGGTAATTCAGGAAACATAAGGCTTCAGTGTAAAGAGTAGGACTTTGTGTAGTTGAACTACCCTCTGCCTTAACTTGAAGGGAGTCAGGTGGTCCTGAGCCTGGCAGAGGCAGAGTAACCTTGGTAAAAGAGCCTGAGTCAAGCAAATATGGCACCACGGTGTGCACTGCTTACCAGTCTTAGGTGAATCAAATATAGGTTGCTACTTCTGAAGTATACTTTTGAAGTTTGTCTTTCTGTTAATTGAGGGGAAAGGAATGGACATAAAAGTAGAATACTCTTTTCAAGTAGGATAAGGTCAGAAGTTTCCTGTTAGCACAGTGGCTCAGACCAGTGGACATAGGAGTTCAGTATTCCCTTCAAGGTCTTCTACAGACTGTGACTTGAGCACATTTTCCCTGTGGTTTAGTTTCTTAACAGACGCTACATGACAGAAGTAGATTATTCAAGTAAACAAGATGAAGAGCAATCTTGGGAAGCAGATTATGCTAGAAAACCAAATCTCCCCAAATGTTGGGATGTGCTTACCGAACCAGATGGTCAGGAGAAGAAACAGGAATCCTTCAAGTCCTGGGAGTCTTCCGTGAAGCACCAGGAGGTATCAAAGCCTGCAGTTTCCTTAGAACAGAGGAGACAAGAGATTCCAAAACTCAGGTCCACTCTGCAGGAAGAGCAGAAGAAGCAGGATGTCTCGAAAACCAAGGCAACTCCTAGCCAGTGGAAGCAAGAAGCTCTTAAATCCAAAGTGGGATACATTCAAGAGGAACAGAAGAAGCAGGAGACACCAAAGCCTTGGCCAATTCAGCTGCAGAAAGAACAGGATCCAAAGAAGCAAACTCCAAAGTCTTGGACACCTTCTGTGCAGAGTGAACAGGACATCACCAAGTCATGGACCACTCCCACGTGTGAAGAACAGGATTCAAGACCGCCAGAGACTCCAAAATCCTGGGAAAACAATGTTGAGAGTCAAAAACACCCTTTAACACCACAATCACAGATTTCTCCAAAGTCCTGGGGGGTAGCTACAGCAAGCCTCATACCAAATGACCAGCTGCTGCCCAGGAAGTTTAATACAGAACCCAAAGATGTGAGTTGATTTGTATCGGTTTGTTCCTATCAATGTAGGCATAAATAGAGATTTGTGGTAGTGATAATTTAAAAGTTCTCTTTAGGAAAAGATCAGTAAAACCCATGTTTAATTAATGTGTTAAGTATTTCACTTAGCTCTTTAATGCATAATTTGTTTTCCCTAGAAAATTGGAAGCAGATTTAATCTGTCATTTGCGCCTAACCTGAAGTGAAATTTCCACAATTAGAAAATATTGTTTTAGTGCTCAAATTTTAATGACATGATATAACATCAAAATAGTGGATAGTTCAGAAAAAACCATAATGTTGAAGAAGTGAGAAACGTAAATGCGTGTCAAAAGGCAGGAGACCTTTTTCTGACAAGTTACATTTTTCTGTATTCTCTTCCTTCTCTTTCACTTATAGTCACTCAAATTAGGCTGTCCTCTTTGAAGAAGGTACAGATGGTCAGGAGAAGAAACAGGAATCTTTCATGTCCTGTTTCAGAAGAAGCAGTAGTTGGGGAAGGATCTGAATTAGTTATCTATTTCTGTTTCAGAAGAATTTTCTGCAGATGAAAAGTATAGCCATTAAATATTCTGTAATTAGGTTTTGGAGTATGAGATTTAGTTCAAATATAAGGCCTCATTCTGCTAATGATAAATAACCCATGTCAGTAAGATAAGAAGCCTTATAATGAATAATCTTGGATACGATGCTAGTTAGTGTCTTTTATTAAAGTATAAGTTATTTACCACTGTTTCATTGCAGACTTGTTGAAGACTTGTTACCACCTTGTTGGCTAAGAAATGTGAACTTGCTACCCTCCCAGTGTTCTCCATATACATCTAGTAGTGTTACTGTACTTCCACACCATTTTAGCCAAAGGCATGCCCGGAAATCTTTGGTCCTCTAACAGTTTGAAAAACATTTTGCTAAGGACCTACTTTATTGCACAGGGAACTATACTAAATATTTTGTAATAACCTATAAGGGAAAAGACTCTGAAAAAGAATACACACACACACACATAAAACTGAATCACCGTGATGTACACCTGAAATTAACACGATATTGTAAATCAACTATACTTTAATTAAAAAAGGTGGGGGGAGAAAAACATTTTGCTTAGGGAATTCAAAGCATTGCATTTTATAAATTACCCCCGCCTCAATTCTGCCTTATGGGAAGAGAATTTTAGAATTATTTGTCTCCTTTTATTTTCCTTTCTTCCTCTTTAAGTGGTAATATAATTTTAGCTCCTTCCTGACCCTGCAGAAGATTGATAGCCTTTTTCATTAACTAGATATCATATGACAGTAATTGTAATATAGCAACTATTTTGAGAGATTTATATCTAAAAACCCAATTTAATACCTCAATAAAGCTGTTTAAAAAACCACAATTAAAAATTCCACTAGATATAGCAGTGCTGAACCTTTACCGTACCAGAATATTGATACCATGCTGTTTGCTGAATAGTATTTAAAATTAAGCGTGTTTAATTGGAAAGGTCAAAACTCATTTAATGTGCTTTATGGCACAGACATCATTATATTGAAGTTACAGGGTCTCTCAGTGACTGAGAGGACGCTTCTCTGTATAGTAGAGTATTTTCCTCTATCTGTATTGAAATCTCAGCTGTTTGGAACATGACCAAGTACTGTCAAGGGCAAAATAGGGTTCAAAGCCAAAAGACTAGGTAACATGAAATAAATCACTAAAGTTCATACTTTTCTCTTAAAAGAGCCTTTCATATATTCCCTTAGGGTCTATTAACAGTTATTTTATGACACTGTTGACAGTTTAGCTATGTGACTCCCCAGTGAATTAGAAGGTGGAGAAGAGGAGCTGGTAGGGACAGGCTTGCTGATACCTGTAAGAAATAACCATAAGCATGAGGTCTATTTCAGGGTATTCAGCAATCTTAAGAAATTTAGCAGGAGGGCGAACCACCTTCTAAACATCAGTAGCCCCCTCCCGCACAAAGTATACCTACTGTATAACAGAATATAATAGTATATTTCCTCAACTCTAGGATATATATGTATGTGCTTTTACATCTTACTGTTTCTGAAATCAGATATGTGTTAAAAATGGGATGTATATTTAATGTGGAGGTAGTAATTTTTTTCCCTGGGGGAAAAAATCATTGATGTGTTTTATATTATAGTCAGTGGCATCTTATCATAGAGGACACAGGGTAACTGATGTCCATAATGAGAGAACTTCTACAAAGGAAGTTCTGTTGCTCTGGGCCTTCCCTTTAAAAGGATGATGTTTAGAAACATTTCCCATTAAAGTTGTTCTGAAGGAGGAAACATGAAAAGTTTGCTTAAATTACTTAGAAAATGCATTTATGTGGAAATTCTTTACCTGAGATAAATCTATAAATGAGCACTGCTATGTGTTTTGATTACATTAAGATGTAGTGATAAGCTTAGTTTCCTGAATTAGGCTTTTGAATTTGAATTTCACTCTTATACATTATGGGTTTATCTTATAGGTGCCTAAGCCTATGCATCAGCCTGTAGGTTCTTCCTCTACCCTTCCAAAGGATCCAGTATTGAGGAAAGAAAAACTGCAGGACCTGATGACCCAGATTCAAGGAACTTGTAACTTTATGCAAGTATGAGTCATTATTAAGTGAATCTTAAATGATAGTCATGGGGCTGCTAGCTTCTGATGTGAAGCGTTAAATGAAGTTGTTAAGAGCATAGATTCTGGTGTCCAGAATGAGTACGAATCTCGGCTCTGCCACTTCCTAGCTCTGAGAATTTAGGCAAGTTACTTAACTCTCTGCCTCAGTTTCTTTTTTGAAAAAATGATAATAGTTCCTACTCCTGTTTGTTTTGAGTAATAAAATGAATTAAACATGTAAGAAGCTTAAAGTGCTCAAATGATATTGCTGCTGTTGTGTGTAGATAATCATAAGACATTCATTATGACACGTGCTCAATTGTGTCATACAGACTCTTACAGAATTTCAGAATAGTATGGTATTACTGAGGGATGAAGTAGGCAAATAAGAGATTTTTGTGTAGTAAAAAGATTTTGAGCTTTGGAATTAGACCTGCATTTAAATCCACTTCTACCAGTTACCGGTTGTGTAATCTGTGGCAAGTTATTTAACCTCCAACCTTCTGCTTATTTGTAAAGTGAGGGAATTGCATACCTCTTCAGATTATTTGATAAATAAAAGCCCTAAAACGATCACTGTAAGTATATAAGTTAAGTACTCAAAACATTGGAAATATTTTTAGGATAACCAGGATAGGCAGATGGGAGAAGAGAATGCCTTCTTGTCATGAAAGTCTCTAAGAGCATGAGTTAGTTTAGTGGTTGAGATAAAATAATTAGACCCTCTCATTGGTTATAATAAAAATGAGGGCTCAGTCTACACTAGGATTAACGTTTAAGACTTCAAGTCAGGAGTTTTCTTTTCCTCATTTGGCCTTAGAATTACTATTGGAGTTTTAACACTTGACACAGTCTTTTTTTTTTAATTAATTAATTAATTTTTGGCTGCATTGAGTGTTCGTTGCTGCACACGGGCTTTCTAGTTGTGGCGAGCAGGGGCTACTCTTTGTTGTGGTGCGCAGGCTTCTCATTGCAGTGGCTTCTCTTGTTGTGGAGCATGGGCTCTAGGCACGTGGGCTTCAGTAGTTGCAGCATGCGGGCTCAGTAGTTGTGGCTCGCGGGCTCTAGAGCACAGGCTCAGTAGTTGTGGTGCACGGGCCTAGTTGCCCCATGGCATGTGGGATCTTCCTGGACCAGGGCTTGAACCCGCGTCCCCTGTGTTGGCTGGCAGATTCCTAATGACTGCACGACCAGGGAAGCCCCTGACACAGTTTTAAGGTTTGACAGTTACTTTAGATTTCGCTTTTAATTCTGTTTCTTCTCCTATAAAGACTAAGTTATTAACATCTTGAGATGGTTATTAGCTAGATTCCTATAGCTAATAAGCAGTTGACATCATAAATAATTTAATGGTAATAGCTTTACCAACAAATGATAATCTTTGTTTTCACTTATTATTTAAACTCTTGTCTTTAGGAATCTATTCTGGATTTTGACAAACCTCCAAGTGCAATTCCATCATCACAGCCGCCTTCGGCTACTCCAGGTAGCCCAGTAGGTATGTCCTCATTCTTAAGACTTGTTAGACCTACAGCTGTTTTTCCAATTACTTCTTTTACATATAATTTTACTCTAGATTATCTTAAGGTTAAACTATGTCTGTGTGTTAATTTTTTCTAAATGTGTACATATGTTATCAGAGTTACATACGGGTAAATTACCATGAGGATGTTAGTGTACTTAACTGACCAGTTTGCATTTTAGAGAAGGTCTCCAGATAGGTGAATGGAAGTACATAATATTAGTTGTCTTTGCTACTTTTTATATTCTTCTTGGAGTGAATTCTGACTAGAACCTGCTTGACTTCTTTCAACTCGGTATGTCTAGTGTGGAGGCTTTTGGATCCTAACTATGAGTGAAATTACATCAGTGGTATTTAGTGCACAGGTTAACACAGTAACTAATGATGCAGCCCAGATCTGAATCTGGTCTGATGCTTCAGACTTTAGGCTTTTTGTTCTACACTAGTTTATCTCAGAGGTGGAATGACATAATCAAAGCCATAGTTCAGCTGCAGTGAGCAGTAGACACCAACCAGAAGACTGGTCCAGTAATTCCTGGGTAGGGTAAGGAGAAGGAAGAGAAAGTACTTAACAAAAGTGATAGAGATTAATAAGAAGAAACCAAACTGAAGCTATGTAACTGAAAAGTATATTTAATTTTACATGATCAAAGAGAAAAAAAAACTGAAGAGCCAGATGACCCCTGCACTTGTAACTTAAAGTGTATCAGCTAATTACTGCTCATGATAGCTCAGGTTTTATCATCCAGATTACAATTACCAGTTTTCTAAAAGTCATAGTTCTTTTCTTTTGGAAGCCTTGAAATGCTGCTTTTGTCCATTGATGAAACTAGTATCCTTTTCTTCTGTAATCCTCTCTGACTCTTTTTAGAGCTCTACTACAATAGAAAGGACTTGAGAGCTAGTTCTGCCAGATACTGCTTTGTTTTATGAAGTATAAACTTTAGTTTCCACCCAGTTGGTATGCATAAACTTTTCTCCTCCCTCAGTAGTTTACTGTTGATTTCACTCTCTGCAGCATCTACAGAACAAAATCTATCCAATCAAAGTGATTTTCTTCAAGAGCCATTACAGGTAACTTTTCCAGACTGATCTTTCATTTACTCTTCTTTGCTATTCAGGGAGGAAACTCTTGCTTTGGCAAGAATGATCAGACTCGCTGATTCTAATATACCTAATGAAATTATTGAAAATGTTCTAAGGGTATCTAGTTTTTTAGATTAAGTACAGCTGGTTCTCAAAAGATTCCCTAATACACATGGGGAAGTCATCTGTTATAACAGAGGAGGTTAACTGATGTTAGTAAGGAAAGAGTAAGCCTGAAGAATTCGGAGGTACTTTGGGAATCTTACTTTGCTGTTGAGCTACCTAAGTCACTTAGTATATTGGCAGAGTAAAGGGTGTAAAGAAAGAAACTAATTTTGCTTAACTCATGGTTAGCCAGTCCCACCCGCCTACATATATCTAACATTCTGATGAACTAATTTTCACAGAACACACTTAGAGTTATAAAGGGACCAGATCATTGAGATCTGTAAATGCCACATTGCATTTCCATCAATAGTAAGTTCAAGATTTGCTAGTTTTCTGGTCATTACTTTAAAAAAATTTTTTTTCCTCAGGATCCCTCTGAAAACCTTATGGCAATTTTCTAGACAGCAACTGCTTTGACAGTAGGTTAAATATTTTGATCAGGTGGTTCAGCAGTTGTTGCCTTCCCTTCCAAAAACTCATGAGTAAATACCATTTGTTTACAGTGGTTTATATTTAGTTTAAGATGTAGCTCGGTTTTCAAAATGTGTTTGTTAAGCAGGGTCCCTCACCCCAGTCACTGCTTTAACTAAAGAATTCCATGTTATCTGGTCTAGCTATTAGGTTCTTTATGAGGCTTTCAAGTGACAAGTTAAGATTTTTTTTTTTTTTTTTTTGGCGGTACGCGGGCCTCTCACTGTTGTGGAGGCGGTACGCGGGCCTCCACTGTTGTGGAGCACAGGCTCCGGATGCGCAGGCTCAGCGGCCGTGGCTCACGGGCCCAGCCGCTCCGCGGCATGTGGGATCTTCCCGGACCGGGACACGAATCTGTGTCCCCTGCGTCGGCAGGTGGACTCTCAACCACTGTGCCACCAGGGAAGCCCTAAGATTTTTTTTGATAAACCAATAGTCTGGTAGCTCTCAGGGCATGCCTGTGGGATGGCTACATCAGAATAACTTGGTCACTTTAATAAAAGTACATACAGTTGACCCTTGAACAGTATGCATTTGAACTGCTCGGGTCCACTTATACATGGGTTTTTTCCACTAAATTCGTAGAGTACTACGCTTCACGAATTTGCGTGTCATCCTTGCGCAGGGGCCGTGCTAATCTTCTCTGTATCGTTCCAATTTTAGTATATGTGCTGCCGAAGTGAGCACTAAATACATAGAGTACTACGGAACTGAGGTTGGTTTAATCCGAAGTTGCGGAACCACGGGTATGAAGGGTCAACTATGGGACCTGAGCATCTGCGAATTTTGGTATCCATAGTGGGTCTTGGAGCCAATTCCCTGTGGATACTGAGGGATGACTGTGTTGTTAGATACCACCTTAGACCTATAGGGTCAGAGTTTCCAGGGGTGTCGTCTAGTCATCTGTATTTTTACTCTGCTCCCTGGGTGAATCTGCACATCCATTTTTTGGAACCGCTGGCCTCAAACATCATGCTTACTCAGCAGTACTTAAAACGAACTCCAGCCAGTCTTCTTAAAGAGCAATAATTTGGAAGCAAGAACTGCCGTAACTTCTAAATAAATACTAATGTAAAGAATGTTTCTTCATCTTTTTTGTTAAGTTAACGTTTTAACTAAAATTCAAAGTCTTTTAAAGCTTAACTATCAGGTGGGCCAAGTTGCCTTAACTTAGTATCTTTGAATTTTTCTTTGGCAATAGAGTTAGTTACGTCCCCACAATAGCCAGTCTCACTTATTTTGGGTGGTTGTCTCATTGTTTTAATGAGAGGACCAGAAGAAAGGCCTACTTTTAGAAACACTACCATTTTATAATAATTCTAATAGTTTGGTCAGATCTAAAATATATCTATTTATTTAGGTACATTAAATGCTCTAAAGGATTTCAACATTTTCTCCATAAGACCTTTTAAAGGTCTTCCATGAGGCTTTTTAGAACTTGGTCCCCATCTCCTTATCAAGAAGTGGCATATCATGATGAACCCTTCTAGAAGGTCACTGAAAGGTTCTGATATTTGGTTACCATTAATTAGTTTCTATTTAACCCATTTTATTAGTTGGGCTTCTGAGAACCACACTGAAACATTTAGATAAAAGGAGTGGATTCACCGACACTTCAGACCTTGCCATTGCAAGAATTTTATGGATCTCTGTTATGTTGTAGTACCTGTTGTGCCATAGCATTCCTTCCTAGCTACTCTTAGTTTTTAATTGGTTACAGTTGTCACAGCATTAGTTCCTACTGTGCTTTCTCCCAATTTGTATTTTATACATATTAGTTTTAATTTTTCTTAGAATATTGGTGCTATTGTGATTTATATAGAGCTTATCCTTTCTATTTATACTTCTGCCGACTTCTTTAAGACACTGAGAGCACTTAGAGTAAAAGCATAGTTGTCATGATCCCTGGCAGGCCCGTGCCTGGAGCATTAATGTACCCTGGGCTCATCTCCCATGGAACTGCTATTGAGAGCCTGATAGAAAATCTGACCCCAGATTTCCAGGGCCAAGAGTCTTGATAAATGAGGATGGGATTAGATGTGTAGCTCTGGTGACTAGGCCTGGAAAGGCAATGTAGCTGACTGCTTGGGTTTGAATCTTAGCTCTTCTGCTTAATTTTAGTGTGACCTTGGGTAAATTACTTAACTTTCTTTGCTTCTGCCTGATTATGAATAAAATGGGAATAGTTGTACCTATTGCACAGGGTTATTGTTAGGATTAAATATATTAATATGTGTTAAAAGTGTTTAGCATACCATTTGGCACGAGTGGCTGCTCAATGAGAGTAATGTGTTAGGAAGCCCAGGGCCCAAGAAATATAAAGTGAACAAAATGTGCCTTTTACAATGTTTTATATCTTCCTATATTTAGGCTGCTTCTTCTCCAGTTACTTGTAGCTCAAATGCTTGCTTGGTTACTACCGATCAGGCCTCTTCAGGATCTGAAACAGAGTTTATGACCTCAGAGACTCCTGAGGTAATAAGAGACCCATTGTCTTAATTTCTTTTCTGTCTTAAAGAATAGCAGAACCAGTTTATTGTATGAATTACAGGCATAATCAGTTTAATGATTTAACATTTATACCTTACTAATGTTTGCTTTCTATAGATGTTGTAGTCCTGGAACTTATACAGGTAACTTTAACTTTATTGTGACCTTACCGTATAAATGGACTTAATAGTGTATTGCCTTTTCAGATAAAATAAATATGTCCAAATTGCTAGTGTCAAAAAAAATGAAAATTTCTAGGTAAGGGTAGGGTTAGTTCAGGTTTCTCACTATATTCATATTGAAGGACTCCTTAGGAGAAAAATCGTTTTATCCATGTAACAGAAGACTCAATAACTTTATAGTTTTAATATTAGCACTGACTCAATTGGAATGAGTTACATTCTCTTTTTGCCTAAGTTTGTCAAAGTATTTTGACAGTATTACGTTTTTCCTCTCAATTCTCAAGTGAAAGTTTTAGCTGTGTTTGAGCAAATCCTTGAGATAGATTATAGCAAGATAGGATGAGTTTTTGGATTAATTTAGCAATTCTTAGGTTTTATTATTTTTTGGTTAACTATTATGAGAATTTGTGTTCATTGTATAAGAAAATAAAGGTAAGCATTAGTTTTTATGGTGTTGACTTGGTCTAAATTAAAATTACTTGGTTCCTTATTTTAAGAAGAGGAAGTGTTTGCCACCTAGTGAGTCACAGCTGTCTGCTTCAAAATCTCATTGGTATTGGTTTTTTCATATCTTTTAAAGCATTTGGCTTTATAATCTATTATATTAAGGACTTGCTTATTCCCTTAGTTAAGATTAGCTCAGGTTTGGTTTTCTTTTTTTAGGCAGCTGACTGAGGAATCCACTAATAAGACTTTAAAATAGAGAAAAATTAACACTGACTAAGTAACTAACCCAAGGTTTTTCTTAAGCCTAATTCTTCTGTATAAATTTGGAATAATACTAGATTCCGAACTGGAAAATACCATTACAGGGTTTGAAAAGGACTAGGAACTCATAAAAAGTTCAGCCCCTCGTCTGTTAGACTGCTTAATAGTAAGATTCTCACTTAGTCAGCAAGCCGTGCAAAGCAAATGCTAGTGTGCATCCTCAGCAATTGAGATTTGAAATTGTAAGCAAAAGCTATTCTTCTGCATTCCTGTGTCCAAATGTCGTCCTATAGGACTTGCTGACTTATGCCAGTCTGGGGTTTAGTGTAAGTTAACTGTTTATTGTATGGCAGGTGATTGGCTGATATTGCATTTCTCCTTCCTAGGCAGCAGTTCCCCCAAGCAAGAAACCATCTTCACTAGCTTCTCCAAATCCTCCCATGTCAAAGGGCTCTGAACAGGGCTTCCAGTCACCTCCAGCAAGTAGTAGTTCAGTAACCATTAACACAGCACCCTTTCAAGCCATGCAGACAGTGAGTATGAAACGTGAATGATGATTGCAGTTCATTATTCCTGTTAAAAAGCTATTGTTTCTCTTACATCTCTTACATTAGGTACTATGTGAAAAAATTTGCCTTTTCTATTACTCTTTTTTGGGCTGGTAGAATTTGCATTTGTCCAATGGAAATATTGTTTGTGTGGGAAGAGTATTAAATCCAAAGCCTCAATAATTTTGAATGGAAATTTTATCAGGGCATTTTCCCCTCTGAAAATTAGTGGCAGGGAAAGCTGAGGACCCATATTAAATAAATGAAATGTGAGTGAGAAACATAATTTTCTGTAAATAGCTTAATAATACTAACCATTACTAATATCACAGTAGTAATGTTCCATGGCATCAGTAACCTGAAATACAGGACACATACTTGTGTGTTCTATCACTGTTGAAACTTTCATTTGATTTCATCTTCATCTCATCTGGGTTTTGGAGAATTGTTCAGATTTCTGTGGTATTTTGAATTACATATTCCGCTACAAATTGTAGTTTAAAACTTTTTAAGGTGATATTTCAACTAGGTTTGTATGTTTATTCTCTAAACATAGAATAAGTATAAAACTTTTCTTTAGAAAAAAGCAAAAAGTCTTAGCCAATAAGTACCTTTCCTGATGGTGCTTAATGTCCCACTCCAGGTACTTTCGTGTGATGGTGGTGGGATGGGGCCAGTGGAGTTGGTAGTGGAAAGCAGGCACAATGCAGGGAGATGGTCTGGTGAATTCACACCCCTGAATTCACTAATCTTATTACTTCCTGCTTGGTCACGTAGCACAGCTTTGTGTCCTTGCTTTCCCTCTATCCCTGTCAATCCATCCTACGCAGTATTGCCACATTGGTTTTACTAACTTTTTCTTATTCCTAATGAAAAGCAAATATTGGTCCATTATAGAATGAAATTGAAAGTCCTTTGCCTGACACTCAGTAACTTTTGAAGTCTGGTATAACTTGCCAGACTAGTCCCCTGGGCTTGCCTTGTACACTCTTGTCACAATACCTTTTTTTGTGTGGTGTGTGTTTTAAGATTTTTAATTTTAATTTGAAATGAAATACAATTATTCATTCAACAAATTGGAAAATATTAAAACAGTTGACATTATCTAGAGTGGGGAAAGAAATAAGAAAGTTTTATACACTGCTGATGTGACAGTAAATCATCACTACCTTTTAGGAAAGGCACTTCCTGTTAAAATTTTTTAAAAAGGGGGCATAAAGCCATGACAGAAGTTTCACCTTGAGGAATCCATACTACAGGAACAAAGGGATTAGTAGCTAAGGATATGCTTCAGTAGCTGAAGATATGTTGTATATAACGGCACTAGAAGGCAATCGCAACAAAACCAATCTGAATTGGAGACCATCTGAACATCTGTTAACTGGGAAATGATTGACTAAATTATGGTATTTCCAATTCTATGGCTCATTCATTCACTCACCGTATATATTTTTCGAGGCAGGCATTGTTTTACTGTATGCCAGGCATTGTTCTAGATACTGGGGGTAAGGAAGTGAATAATACAGATTTGTCCCCTTTATCATGAAGCTTACATTCTAGTGTGTGTGTGTGTGTGTGTGTGTGTGTGTGTAGCAAGGGAGAGACAAAAATGATAAATGATAATAATAACAACAGCAACAATAAAACAAGTCAGTTAACCTTTAGAATAATTGCCTGTTTCTAGAGGCAGGTACCTTGGGTTTTTCAGTGAAAAAATTACATCCAGATTTTTATTCTGCTTTGAAATCTTTGTGTCCTGATTAGTTGCTCCTCGTGTGTCTTCTCGTTGTATTTTGGAAATTTTTAATAGCACTTATCCTACTTTATTTTTATGTTTTTAAAGTAAAACTTCAGACTTTATCTGGATTTCCCTAGTTTTTCCACCAGTGTTCTTTTTCTTTTCCAGGATCCCTTGCAGGGTGCCACATTGCATCACAATACCTTTTTGCTCATGCCAGTCTGTCTTCTCTACCTGTTTGGATTCTATCCAGTATAAATTGGTTCTTATTTGTTTGCTTACTCATTTATTCAATAAACAGGTAGTTATGAAGCCAGGCACTGTTCTTAGGGGTTGTAACAATGGAGAATAGACAGGTGTTTGTGCTTAAGAAGCTTATACTTTATTATGGAGGTGGGAGGGCTAGAGAGAAAAATATTCATATATATATTATATCAGATGCTATGTGTTGTGAGGAAAAATGGAGCAGGATAAGGGGGCTAGAGAGTAACAGAAGTGCTGTATTATAGATGATGACCAGAGTCTGGACAGATCATTGCCAGCTACATGGTAGAAATTCAGTAAATGGCAGATTTTTTCATTTGTTTTCAGTTTCTGAAAAAGTACCCTTTTCCCCATATAGCTTTCATTCTCAGTAAGCATTATTATAATGTAATGGCAGGAGAGTTAATTTTTGTACTTGTTTAACTTCTGTCAGAAATCAAATAGAAATTTGGTTTTTTTACTATGGTAAAATATGCATAAACATAAAGTTTACTGTTTTAACCGTATTTAAATGTATAATTCAATGGCATTAAGTACATCCACAGTGTTGTACAGCCATCACCACTATCTACTTCCAGAACTTTTTCATCGTCCCCTCCCCCATCCTAGCCCCTGGTAACTTCTATTCTACTTTGTCTCTATGAATTTACCTATTCTTAGGTACCTCATATAAGTGGAATCACGGTATTTGTCCTTTTGTATCTGGCTTATTTCAGTTAGCTTAGAATTTTCAAGGTTCATCCATGTTGTAGCATGGATCAGAATTTCATTCTTTTTTATGGTGAAATAACATTCCATTGTATGTATGTACCACATTCTGTTTATCCATTCATCTGCTGATGGACACTTGGGTTGTTTCCATCTTTTGGCTATTATGAATAATGCCATGAACATTGGTGTACAAATATTTGAGTCTCTGCTTTCAGTTCTTTTGGGTATATGCCTAGAAGTGGAATTGCTGGATCATATTCTACTTGGTAATTCTACTTGGTAAATGGGAATTCCGCATTTAGCTTTTTGAAGAACCGCTGTACTATTTTCTGCAGTGGCTGCACCATTTTACGTTCCCACCAGCACTGCCCTGCCACTGAGGGTGGCAACTGTACCACACCCTCAGCAATACTTAGATTTTCTGGGGTTTTTTTTTTTTTAAAGTAATAGCCATCCTAATGGGTATGAAGTGGAATCTCATTGTGGTTTTGATTTATATTTGTCTAATGACTAATGATGTTGTGCATCTTTGCATGTGCTTATTGGCCATTTATCTTCTTTGAAGAAATGTCTATTCAAGTCCTTTGCCCATCAAATAGAAGTTTTTGAATGTTGCAGAGTTTTGCTGAATGTCACCTTTAATTGTTTTCTATAAAACTTCACAAATGACTCAGTGTACCCTGTCTTTTAAGGTATTTAATGTTAATGCACCTCTGCCTCCACGTAAAGAACAAGAAATAAAAGAATCCCCTTATTCACCTGGCTACAATCAAAGTTTTACTACAGCTAGTACACAGACACCACCCCAGTGCCAACTGCCAGCTATACACGTAGAACAAACTGTCCTTTCTCAAGAGACTGGTAAGATCTTTGTGTATCATATTTTGAAGACTTAGATGAGAGCTAATTAAATGGAAAGCAAGTCTGTAGTGACACTTGAGATGTTCTTTCTTGACTAGTAAGCCTTATCTTTTCACATGTTCAAGTATTGAGAAACACTTAATGCTTTTTCGTCTCTTTAGTTAAGTTCACTTATTACTTTTAACTTTTGTAGAGGTAGAACTTAGATGGTTGATTTAACCTTGAAGTAGGCTTTTATTTTTAAACCTGATTGCTTTGATTACCATCAACAGTGGTAGAGGTGCATAAGGCACTATCCAGCTGCTTCTATGAAGGTTTTGAAACCGTTCTGTTAACTCCGTGTTAGCACAGATGGCTATCTGGCCTTTTTTCTTTCCTCTTGTAATAAAGCATTGATTAATGTGAAGGTATAATTTAGTATGCTTATTCTACTCTTTGATTAGAGATGGGAGACACTTTTGATTGTTCATGCTATTCTAATATGTACATGAAAGAATAGCAACTTTGTAGTTATTTCTCAATTTAAGAAGCACTTGTAGATTTTTACTGTTGGTATTTCAGGCCCCTATTGGGTTTTCTAAAACTTAAGCTGGAGCAAACGAATTGCTTGGTTAATCACAAGAGGTAGTAAATGTAAATCCCTGGACCTAGCCACAGATGACCTCATTCTCTTCTCACCTGTACTGTGAAAACATAGGGCAGGTGATTTACATAAAGGATACTTTTTTGTCATAATCCTTTTCAATTACAGTATTAATAAGAGTTCATTTTCTTTTACTCCTCGATCTGGCATATTTAGCCTGTTTTTTCCCTTTAATTGTGGTAAAATATACGTAACATAAAATTCATCATTTTAAACATTTTTAAGTGTACAGGTTTTATGGCATTAAGCACATCCAGGTTGTTGTGTAGCCACCACCACTATTCATCTCTAGGAATTTTCCATCTTCCCCATTTAACACTAACTCCCCATTTCCCTTTCCCTGTAATCCCTGGCAACCAGCATTCTACTCTATGAATTTGACTGCTCTAAATACTTAACTTATATAAGTGGAATCAAAGAGTATTTGTCCTTTTGTAACACCATAATGTCTTCAAGGTTCATCCATGTTGTATTGTAGAATGTGTCAGAATTTTCTTCCTTTCTAAGACTGAATAATATTTTATTACTTAGATATATATATATAGAGAGAGATATCTGTGTCTCTCTCTATATATACACATACATATCTATAGCATCTGTTTTTTTAAAAAAGGGAGAAAGTTGTATTAAAGGTTTTGATATACACTGACTTCTAAGTATAAAGAATATTAAACTTTTATTACCATTTAACTCTTGGACTCTAAAACTGTTTCCTTAAGCAGCAAGTTATCCTGATGGAACTATTCAAGTAAGCAATGGTAGCCTTGCCTTTTACCCAGCACAGACGAATGTATTTCCCAGACCCTCTCAACCATTTGTCAATAGCCGGGGATCTGTTAGAGGATGTACTCGTGGTGGGAGATTACTAACCAATTCGTATCGGTCCCCTGGTGGTTATAAAGGTATGCTCTGAATACAATTTGTATGTTTACTTGACTCAAACTGTTTTTACTTTACCTTGTTCCTTTTTGTGGTTTCCATTTATAATGTAGTAGAGAATTCCCTATTCCTGCAAAATATGGTATTTCTAATATGTCTATTGTCTATAACAGAGGAACTCTTTGAATGAAAAACAGATCGATCCTGTGACTTACTGAAGTGAAAGGTTAAGCATTTTGGTTTTTTTCCAGGGATGAATTTTGGTTTTCATATTTGAATAATTTCTTTCTTCTGTTAATTGACTTGGCTGGCTCAAAACATGTCATATTTAAGACAGTGCCCATTTCCTAGTTATCAGAGTATACCACAGATGAAAACTTTGAGACAATAATAGTGATACGCTTTTAAGTTAGATATGGTTCCAAGTATTCTAGTCACTGCTGGTATTAGCAGAAGTACTCTAGACCAAGGCCTTAACCACCATCCTTTCCCAACCCCACCTGCATCCCAGCAATAGTAAATTTCTACAGTTGGCTTGTTTGAAGTCTGTGATATTTTTATAAATGTGTGTTTTATTGTGGAAACAGTATTATGGAGTTTGCTTAAAGAAGGCATAAATCTAATGATGGCTTTATAGGATCAATTTAACTTTCCAAGTGATATAGAACAGACTATTTAAGAGTTTAGTGTAATTTTGCCCATAATTTTATGTAAGTTGTTTATTTATTAGGTTTTGATACCTATAGAGGACCTCCTTCAATTTCCAATGGAAATTATAGCCAGCTACAGTTCCAAGCTAGAGAGTATCCTGGAACACCTTATTCCCAAAGGGTAAGAATAATTGTTATAACTGAACAATAGTACAATTGATGTGAAGCTGGTGACTAAACTATAGCAGAGTCGTAATTTGTTTTGTAAAGACACTCTTGTAACTATGGAGAGTGGATCTGGAAGCTTTTCTAATAACCCAAGTAGGGTACATGAGAACTGCCTGTTACATGGAACTTAGGATGTCTTAAGGACTTTATTAAGTTTGCATTAACTCATTTACTCCACCATCCTATAAGAGAAACTGGAGTTCAGAAACGAGTAACTTATCTAAGGTCACTCAGCAAGTAAATGATAGAACTAAGATTAGATGCAAGTTTCTCAACTCCAGAGCCCATGGTCTTTACTATATTGCCTTCAGTTTAACTTTTTTAGATATCAAGTATAGGAAAGTCCTTTTTTGTAAGTTTGATTGTTTTGGTTTATTCTTGATTGACTAGTTCAGCAGATTTTCTTTACTATATATGATAAAAGACTGATAGGAGAATGGTAGACATTCCACTTGAACAGCCCTTGGGAACTCCCTGTCATTGGTCGTATATGGATATGAATTTATACTACATTAGCATTTTCAGTTTTGAAGTTTTACAAGCCTTTAAGTATGTATGTGGTATTTTACTGAGTTCTGTTGTTAATATACAAAGGAGCTTACGGTTACGTGAGGTAAGATAGATGTCTATACAGAGGCAGTATTGAAGAACACACCTTGGAAAACACACCAGGTCACCTAAATGACTTGGGTTTGACCCCTGATCTCACCAGTTACCTCTTTGTGTGACCTTGGGCCTGTTACATAAACTTTCTGAGCTTTAGTTCCTTATCTGTTAGGTGAAGACTCATCTGTTTGAGTTACTTATCTTACTCTGGAGTGTGAGGATTACTCTGTGAGGGATTCTGAGGATTAAATGAAGTCATATACATAAGTGCTTTGCATATATCAAGGATGCAAATATTAACTGTTATTACTTGATTGTCACGTACTGTGTGTGCAGGGAAAACTTTGATTAATGCGGTCTTTCAGTAATGGAGCTATCTGTTCTTAATACCAGCATTCTAGTATTTTTGTGTGCTGCTTTAAATTTCCTCCTGAGGAAACATAAGATATCAATGATAGTAGTGCTGTTGGGAAGAGGGTTAGGAGTTTGGGGTAGGAAAATTAATTATTATTTTTACTGTATACATTCTTGTCCTGTTTAAATTTTTTATTACATGTATTGATATTAATCTGATTGCACCATTAATTATTCTTTTCATGACTTGCATGGGGGCTGACTTTCACCATACTTGGGAGTCAGTTTGAAATGTTGCCTCTTGAACATTTTTTCTTAAAGATTCCAGACAATAATACGTTCATACGTTAAATTCTTATCAATTTCCCTGTCAAAACAAAACCAAACCCTAACATAGTTTGTAATTGTCTTCACACTTCGGTTTATAAATAGAGCAAGACTGAAATTGTCTGTATTTTTGCTTTATCATCTCCTTTTATATTGAGATGAGGCACAGAGGACCAGGACATATTTCTGAATTTCCCTCATTACCTAGCATTGTGTCTTTTACGTAGTGTTCTCTAAATGCTTTCTTGTTTTTGCAAGTATTAACATATCTAATTTGTCAGGTTAATTAACAGATGAAGCAAATATTGCTACTGTGACTCTTGCTTTATTTGTTTTTCTTGGTGTCATCTGAGCCCTTTTGGTTGCTGGAGAAGGCTAGACCAAGGGCTAGGAGGACTTAGTCTTACAAATTCATCTGCCAATAATAACTAATTACTGTTTTGCATTTTTAGTACTAAGGTAAATATTATGTGTTCATTTTAGGATAATTTCCAGCAGTGTTACAAGCGAGGAGGAACATCTGGTGGTCCTCGGGCAAATTCGAGAGGTAAGGATAATTAATTGAGGAGTTTATTTACCCAAAACATACCTCTAGATCTTTCTTCATCCTTTGTCAAGTTCTCCCCAAAGTATATTAGCATTTATCTTTTGAGGTTTTCAGTTTGCTTAAATGTTGTACTGAAGATCTGAGGGAGATATTAGACTACTAGAAAGGCTGTGGAAATCATTTGTCAATTTACGTGTGTATGTGTTTTAAATTTGCTTGACACCATAATTTAACCTTAGATAGATATTCACTATGCTAACTTGATATAGTTTCAGGTGATATATCAGGATGGTGGTTTTGGAATAGTGGGCACTTCTAGATACTCCAGTGCCCCTTAGTACATTGATAGATAGGAATAAACAACAATTAAGACACAATGACTTGAACAAAAGCAGGATACTTTTAATACTTCTTAAAATGTGAAGGTACTATTAAAAGGTTCAGTGTAACTGAGAAGATCAAGAATTACTGAAGATTAACTTTGTCACAAGAAAAGAGAAGCTTTTCCTTTTAAGAAAGTAGCCACTATTCACATTATCTTTGCCCTCTATCTGAGCAGTGTTTTTGTACAATACTGAAAACATTAAAATTTTATGATACCACATTAACTTAGAAATAAAGAACAAGCATTTATTATGGGGCTTAGTACCATAACAAAATATGTTTGAATGTCTAGTAGGCTAGTAGTTCCAGAAGTTGCTACTTTTATGTAATCTCAGTTTTCTTGAGTCCTTCTCCATTAGATACTTAGAGTAGATTTATCACTGAGGAATTAAGAACTCAGAATTATGGGAGAAAGGTAAAGAATTAAAGAGTGTTCACACCTGGGTTTTAGACTCTGCTAACCATAACTACTGTTAAGTTATCCAACCTTTGGGGGCCTCATTTTTTTAATATTAAAAAAAAAATGAGGCTACTGGACAAAATCATCATCCAGGTCCTTTCTGGCTTTAGAATAGTAGTAGAAGAGCCTATTGTCAGAGAAATCTAGAAGAGTATACTGTAGCTATACTTTATTGCTTTTTAAAAAAAATTTACTATAAAATGTATTTTTATCTGTATTTCAGTAGCCGACTAATGTTAAATATTGTGTTCAAAGCTAACTGCTTCATTATGAGAAACTCACTGTTGCTAATAAAACAGCAGGGTGGAGTGATTCTTCTCAGGTGAGCAGCCCAGAAAGAGACAACGAAACCTTTAACAGTGGTGACTCTGGACAAGGAGACTCCCGTAGCATGACCCCTGTGGATGTGCCAGTGACAAACCCAGCAGCCACCATACTGCCAGTACACGTGTATCCCCTGCCTCAGCAGATGCGAGTTGCCTTCTCAGCAGCCAGAACCTCCAATCTTGCCCCTGGAACTTTAGACCAACCTATTGTGTTTGATCTTCTTCTGAACAACTTGGGAGAAACTTTTGATCTTCAGCTTGGTAGATTTAATTGCCCAGTGAATGGCACTTACGTTTTCATTTTTCACATGCTAAAGCTGGCAGTGAATGTGCCACTGTATGTCAACCTCATGAAGAATGAAGAGGTCTTGGTATCTGCCTATGCCAATGATGGTGCTCCAGACCATGAAACTGCTAGCAATCATGCAATTCTTCAGCTGTTCCAGGGAGACCAGATATGGTTACGTTTGCACAGAGGAGCAATTTATGGAAGTAGTTGGAAATATTCTACGTTTTCAGGCTATCTTCTTTACCAAGATTGAAAGTCAGTACAGAATTGACAATAAAAGGATATGGTGTTCTGATTAGTGGGAATAAAGGAAAAGTAGTCCTTGCCCTTCTGACAGATTGGTTTAGGAAAATGTTTTCATTCCTAGAGGAAGGAGGAGGTCCTTACTTTTTTGTTTTCCTCCCCATGGTGAAAAATTTCAAGCTGAATGACAATTAGCACTAATCTGGCACTTTATAAATTGTGATGTAGCCTCGCTAGTCAAGCTGTGAATGTATATTGTTTGCACTTAATCCTTAACCGTATTAACGTTCAGCTTACTAAACTAACTGCCTCAAGTTCAGGCAAGTTATAATGCCTTGTTGTGCCTCAATAAAAAAGTTACATGCACCTTCAGTGTTCTTCTTGATTAAACATTTAGTTAAGAAGTAAAATGTTTAATTTTTAGTGTTCATACTGGTAACTTTTGAATGGGAATCTATTCATGGGTTCATACTATTATTTTAAAATAAGCCTTTTATATATAACAGCTCCTTTTAGAGTTACTTTTCTCTGTTATTATACATATCATTCATCAAAAGATTTCATGTTTTCCACTGGCCAAATCACATCTTCTCCTTGAAGCTGTTTTGCAGTAGGGTGTTTTATCCTTCAGTTAGCTATCTTCAAGTACCTACTGTATGAATAATAATACAAGGTACAGTACACGATACATGGGTAATACTACTGGTCCACCATCAGTAAGGCTTATGCTTTCTAGTGGATTCTTAATTTGAGTAGGTAAAATATTTAGTCATCAAAAAGCAAAGGTCTGTGGTCGGGCAATGCTGTATTTGAGTGTGGATTTTGCCACTTAGTAACTGATCTTGGGCAAGTTACTATACCTCAAAGATTTTTTTAAAGACCATTTTCCGAAATGCAAAATGGGCATGATAGATCAGCCTCAGGGCAGTTGTGAAGTTCAACTAAGAATTTATCCAAAAGACTTTACACAGTGCCTGGCACATAAGCATTTAATAAATGTTAGATGCTGTAATTGTGTTTTTCTCATTCGGAAAACTTTAGGGTGCTGTGTGTATATACTGTCTTGTATGCAGTGTAGCAGGCAATGCCAGAGTTTAGTATCCATTCTAGACATACATCCTCACGTCTCAATTTAAGTTTGTATATGATTCTTACTACTAAGAACTTAATAATATGTTTCTCAATTACTTTAAAGAATAGTAATTCAAAATAAACATTTTGACTGAATATTCCAGAGTTTATTAAGGGTTGGAGAAAGGGCATTCTTAGCTTGCAACCAAGCAAGTCACTTGCTGAGGCAGAAAGTTCTTGTTTTGATCCTCCGCTCACTCTGTGTTGTTAAATAATCTCAGGAAGATGTAAGAGCATTAAATTATTATGGTTCATATGTTTGAGCTAGGTGTGGGTTCAGCAATTAAATCCTTAAGCCGTGTTTAATTCTGTGGCGTTAAGTGTTAGTACAGTGCTCTCAAGATAGAGGATGTAATGTGATTCACTATTTAACAGAACTTTTTCAATTCATGGTAAGTATTTTGTGAGTTAGGGATATTAGTATTCCAGTTAAATAAATTAGTTCATGGCTTTTATGTCCAGAGCACAAAATGAAAAGTATGCAGGAAAGCAGAAAGATGATTGAATGCTTGAGGGGAAAACTTGATGTTTAAGAACAGTTGTTGATCAAGTTCAATGAGGCCTTTCTCAGTCTTTTTTAGCCACTGTTTTCTGCTGCATTAGGGTCTTCAGCTTAGTCTTTTGTCCTGAACATGATCGACATTTATTGAAAAAATATTGTGAATGACTCTTTGTATTTTTTAAGGTTAAGTGTCCAACAGGAAGAGATTCATTAACTAGGGTATCCCTTCATGATAATACTCATGTTTTAGGAGAGCATTTTAAATGAAATACTATTTCTCTAAGTGTAAAGACAATAAACTAGAAAATTATTCTTAGACTTAAGGAATGAATGGACAAGATCTTTCATTCTGAAGCAGTGTAACTTTTGAAGACACAGTTCTTCTGGAAGCTTTTAGTAAAAGCCCAGATGTCTTTACAAAAAGATGTACACATGCAGATTTTAGATACCTTTGCAAGAGATGTAATGGGGATCCATAGATAAGTAAAGCACATTTAGGGACCTTGTATAAGGAACTTACATTTCACTGAGAGGATCTTGTTGTAGGTATGACTGAAGTGGAAAGGCATTCCATAAAATTACTATGTATCTCTGAATATATAGATTCTTAGTTGTCTTACGGGAGGTGGAGATAGGGGAGATAAAGTAAGTTTTTCTATTTTCTATAGATAGATTTTCTATAAATTCACCTCTGAGTTTCCTTTCACTTTAAATCTTTTAGTCTTTTGTTTAAATGAATTCTCCCTTAAGAATTGTGAGCAACTGACTCTTACCTCCTCTAAAGTTATTTAGTGAGTAAATGCAGGTATTTAAAGCAGGAAATATTTTTGAGAGGTTGGCTCACTTGCCTCCCATACCAAGTATCTTGTCAACCATTCCATTTTTAAATTGAAACTTTCTAAACTCCATAATAGCTACAATTTTACAGTGCTTTGACATCACATACTGTGTTTTTATACTTCAGTCTTCCCTGTTTGCAAAGTTTTATTCCTTTATTGACTGATGTTCTGTTGTGATCCTTGTGATAACTAGGATGATATTTTATGTATTTTACAAGGCATAAAGTATTTTATATGCCAGATAATTTTTGGCATATAGACGTTAAAGTTTTTCCATATGAATTCCACTCTGCTCCCATGCCAAACACTTTATTTTGATGAAAAAATTTTGAGTTGTCTCTCCAGGTCCTCCTCCACTTGCTAATGTTATCTCAGGGGTATTCTTTTTTTTTTTTTGTGGTACGTGGGCCTCTCACTGTTGTGGCCTCTCCCGTTGCGGAGCACAGGCTCCAGACGCACAGGCCCAGCGGCCATGGCTCATGGGTCCAACCGCTCCGTGGCATGTGGGATCTTCCCAGACCGGGGCACGAACCTGTGTCCCCTGCATCAGCAGGCAGACTCTCAACCACTGCGCCACCAGGGAAGCCCTCAGGGGTATTCTTAATTGCCACTTTAATGATTAGGCTGATATCTTTGTCCTCATTTTTCAGCTTTTGGGCAAGTGTTGACAAACTGATAGGTACAGCTCACTTGCTACCAGTGCAAGACTCTGAATGCCAGATGATAAAATATTGTTACCCATTATCAATATCAAGAGGCCTTAGGCTCACTAATTGTAAGTTTCTTAAGCATTATTCTTTTATTCATTTTATTTCAAGGGCCTTATATGTTGAAATAAATTATTAATTTAGGTGGGTTTTAATTTACCATAAAACCCAAATAGGTGGGTTATCTGATTTGTACCTGGCTCAGGGGCTACAAAGATCAATGTTCAGACACATCAAGTATATCAGTTTTATCCATTTTATCCATTTCATCTGCTGAGAGCAAATCTCTTGAGTTATTTCTCTGATTTCTATCACACTTCTGTTTTTCTTTTCTATATCTGGAAATCTTACTACTCAGAAGCTAAACCTCCTTGGACAAGTTATTTAATCTCATCTTTTCTCTTGTTTCTAAGTTTCACTTTCTGGAAGATTTCCTTGATTTTGTCTTCTGACCTTTTTACAGAGTTTTAAATTTCTGCTGCGTTTAAAATTCATAAGTACACATCTGTTATCTTGAATGTTCCTTACATGTGTATTCCATTCTTGTTTTGTGATTGCACTATTGTCTAAGGATAGTTGGTTTTCTTAAAGTTTTCTTCCCTCTGTAGTCTATTTCTGCACTTCTTTTGTCCTAGTCTCATATCTGTATTGTTACATTTGCTCAGAATCTTGTGATTATTTGTTGACTGTTGATATTTAAGAATGTGGCACCTAAATATGATTGGAAGCTTTGAATGCAGAGGTGGGGCTTGTTGATCTTGGGGTTTGTAGTAGCATGATTTTTGTGGGGGAGAACATCAATGTGGAAGTAGGGAGGAGCTTTCTAAGTGGGGCACAAAACCCAGAAGCCGTAAAAGATGGATAAATTTGACACATAGAATTTATTCCCCTAAAACTTGTTAGGGGAAATAATGTCAAAAGACAAATACTGCCTGCAGTGGGAGAAAATCGAAAAAGATGGCCCAAAAAAGGAGCCACAGAAGTGAAGAGACAGTTCATACGCGCTTAAAAAAAAAAAAAAAAAAAAATCAGTAAGCATATGTAAAGTGCGTATTTTGGCAAGCATGTGGGAAAAGGGGCACTCATAGTGTAGATGGTAATAAAATTGGTACTTTTTGGAGAGAGAAAGTATATGCTTTCTAGCCCAGAAATTCCAGTGCTAGGAATTTACAAGTAGTTTTGGAATTATGCCAAGGTACATGCATAGAGATACTGTGTATAGCATTAATTATAACAGCAAGAACTGGAGAAACAACCTAGATGCCCATCAGTAGGAAATTGGTTAAGTCAGAAGAGAAGAATATAGATCAGTGTGTGCAAAATGTCATTTATGTAAAAATTCCTAAAAGCACATATATGTGATTACTTGAATTATTTTTTTTTCCTGGTAGTATGTACAAAACTTGATAGTGTTGGCTTTAAGGAAAAGGGGTTGTAGTAGGTATTTTTCATTCTGCATATTACTATAGAACTTTAAATGTACATATTGCTTTTTGTTAAAAATTTTAAAGATAAAATGGTAGATTGCTATGGTACTTACCCTGCTTTGTCTTTCCTTGGCTAGAGCTTGAGGGTCTGCTTTAATTATCATTAAGCCCGGGATAACACATGGAAGAGTTACCGTAAAAACCTTTCACCTTTCACTAATATTGGCATTTCACTTCATAATTTACAGAGTACTCTCATTTGTGTAATCTTATTTGATCTTCACAGTGGTCCTGGTGAGGTAGATGCTTTTCTAGGGGATAAGAAAATTGGGACTCTTGGAGATTGACTTTCTAAGACCACTAGCAGTAGTGCCTGAGCCAGGCTTTGAGTCCAAATACAAGCGCGGCCTTTCTTACCGTACTCGTTGCTCTTCTTTAGTTCTCAGGTGTGGTTGCCTTCACCGTATTTTCCATTGCTGTTTTGCACACTGATGTTTTAGATGTACTACGCAGCTTTACTAGAGCAGAATGAACACTGTGAACTGGATAAACTGGACCCAGTTAAGGCTGTCATAAGTTATCATTTCTTGTATGTCCTGAATTTGAACAGGATGACTCCTTTTCCAATGTGAAATGTGGGAAGCCTGAGGAAATGAAGGAACAGAACATTTTGAGGAAAAAACTGATTTGAAAGTACATATTTCATTTTCAGTCTTAGTTAATACCACTCTCTTTAGCTTCTATGTCTCCCGCCCACTAC